TATCACTCTCTACAAGTCCCTGATAGGAGGTGCAGCCGGGTGTGGGCTGGTCTCTTCCCCCAGGTAACAAGCCACAGGACAAGAAGAAGAAGACTCAAGTTGCACCAGGGGAGATTTATGTTGGATATTAGGGAAAATTCCATCACTGAGAGACTCATCAAACACTAGAACAAGCTGCCCAGAGAGGAAGTGCAGTCACTGTACCTGGAGGTCCTCAAAAATGTGTGGATATGGTGCTCAGGAACATGGTTTAGTGCTAGACCTGGCAGTGTTGGGCTCATGGTTGAACTGATGATCTCAGAGGTCTTTTCCCACCTTAAGGACTCCATGATTCCATGGCCCCTGTGATTCTGTGGTCCCACCTTAATGATTCCATGATTTAATTGCCCCTGTGGCAGAAACTCCCAGCAAATGTACAGAAAAATGTCAGAAGTCAAACTAATTCTTCTCATGAGGTATTTCTCTCATTCCTAGCACGCAGTGCATTAGAGACTGGTAATAGAAGTTGCATAAAACAAGAATGTTTAATGGTATTTTAAGTTGATTATATTTTTGGTATTCTTTTGGCAGAAAGTCCTGCAATTTAATTAACTAATTGTGCTGCATGACAAAATTTTATTCACTTTAAACCTCTTTTGCTCCTTGTATTAACATAGTATATAAATATTCCCCTCCTAAGAACATTCTCCATAACATTTGCCACGGTATAAACTTCAGCCCCCTCCTCCCAAAGAGTTCTAAATTTATCTGGTTTATCCTGGCATGGAAGCAGATACATACAATTACTGACAAGACAACCACTATCAAACCCAACTGTTGTTACCCAGACTGAAATTCTTCCAAAAATTAATTATTTAAAATAATCCAAACGGTGCAAATATCCAAAGATCAGACAGATCCATAAAACTTGCCTGTAGCAAAATCATGCAATTAGAATCATGCTCATAAGTGTTGCAGTCTTAAAACATTAATGGAAGGAGTTATTAAAATTGTATTTGATTTGCATTATTACAACACTGAATGCACTATGGAAAACTGAGTCCATGAGTGAGGTGCAGCACAAACCAGAGTATTATTATCTCAGTTGGAACTTTAAAATAGACTCTGCTTTACAGTTCTGCCTGAATTTTCTTTAGTTTTATTGCTCTTGTAAATTGATAAGGATTCCTGGTTTTATATTAGAAATAGAAAATGAGGAGGAGGATAAGAAAATAGTTGTAGATAAAGACTCAGAAAAGCAATTTGAGAAAAAAACAATCCTTCCCAAAGTAAGTAATTTTTATCAGAAATAGGATGTGTTGTTGTGATCATAAGTGCCATCAGAAGCCCCAAGAATTGCAGGGTTTCTGTAGACAACCTAGAGAAAAGTTTCCCCAAATGTGGAAGCAATTATAAAGAAATTCATGACTCACAGTAAGAATTCCTGGTTTTATTTCCATTACAAATAGTCTGCAATTTGTGCATCTCTGTCTGACATCTTTTTATTGGGCACTTACCCTCCCTGACATGTTTATAAAATTACCTGCTTCATTAGTGGGGCATCACCAGCAAATCTGATGCACAAATATTGCCTTTAATCCAGCAGAAAACAGAGTTTGCTGAAGTCAATGGAATAATTTCAATCAATTCCAACAGAATTAGAGATAAACCTGTGAGGGTTAAAAAAGATATATATATAACCACTATTACAAAGTGGAAGAAGGAATACAGGGAATTTTCTTTGCAACTGAGATATTTTTAGGTTTTTTATTCTTTAGAATCCCTGTACAGGCATGTCCCTCATGCACAGTTGTCAAAAATAGTGTTTAGGCATTTAGACTCAAGTTGATTTAATCCAGTACAGAAGTGTGCTCTAAATTTTTCAGGGCAGTGAAAATGTGAAAAAATACTATCTTCATGTTCAAAAACTCCATTTCATTAAGAAGAACAGTGCTAATAAATTAAATAAATGAGATTATTTCTATTAAAAATAGAAATAGTGTCTTGTTGAAAAAATACTCCTTCTTCTGAACTTAAACTATGCTTTAAAATTCAGTATTCAGATCCTTAGCAGGTGTAAATCATCACAGAAATTATGCTGTTACACTTTACATGATATTACCAAATTGTCTTGCTGGTAATTAAGAATATCCTCTATGGAATAAGGACCAATGACAGGAGAAAGTATAAATTGATATTGTCTCAGCACGCCTAAGTGGTAGACAGAAATATTCATGTGCATAATCTTGCACCTTCCCTACATGATACCCAGTGGGCTGAAGTAATAGTGTACAGAATTATCTTGGAAAAGGCAATTCTCAACAGAAACTAAAGAATCTTATGAGTTGTCTGTGTTTCTCATAATTATACATGGCAAAAATTAAGATAAAACTAACAGGCATGCTCTTGGAAAATGTTTCTTTAAAAATGTTTCTTTAAACTTTCTGCATATTATACTCAAGTGTTTTCCAAGCTCAAATTTTCTGTATTTCATTCCAAGAAAATCAGTATCCCTTTCTCCATTTCTCTTTATGGGTCTATCATGTCTGTAATGTACAGCACAGGGAAACCAATGCCATTCCTATTACTCAGGAAGGCAATGAAGCTGTTCTGATCAAAGATGAAATTTCTGAATTCTGGTGTATGAAATTCTGATGAAATTTCTGAATTCTGATCAAAGATGAAATTTCTGGTGCAAATTTCAGGTGAAAGGCCTGAATTCAACAGACTTCCATGAAGGGGCAAACAGCCACTCTGTCCTCTACAGCACAGCTCCCCTAACTCACCAACAGAGAGCCTTGTCCAGAATCAAACTTCTCTTTAAAATGCAAGTGCTCTCCTTCCTCAGTATTAAAAGCGATTCTTGTGAAAATCATTTTCTTCTGATTCTCGTGGAAATTATTTTCAACATCTCCATTAAGGAGATGCCCATTATGAACAGCAGAGGCTCAGGGCTGGAATTTCAGGAGTTCATGAAACATGCTCTGACATATATGTTCAGCCCATGGCTCTCCCCAGTATGCTTTGGGCTTCAGAAATCACTTTGCTTTAATTCCATCTAAGTTACTGTGAGGATACAAGGTCAAAATTCCATGGAACATGATGTTACATCCATGGAACATCAATATACAGCTGATGACCAAGTCCCTGTTTTCTCTTTTTGGATAAAAAGGTCAATATGGGTTTCATTATCCCCCAAAATTAGTCAACTGAGAGAGGAAAAAATACAATGCATAGTGGTGAATGATGCTTGGATGCATGTGTTTAAAGTGTCCTGCTAGTGCAGAGTAACCAGAATCATGATGTCATAAACATGACATTAAAAGGCCAAACATATTAAGACCAAAAAATATTCTGTATAGATTACTAGTGAGCATCCTTATGGCAGACACTGAGGGATATTCTAGATTCTAGCAAGAATCAAGAAAGAATTCGGCATATATGTACATATAGGAGGAGTTTTTGATCTCACATAAAATGTAGAAAGCATAAAATACTGTGTATTAGAGGTCCCCTGAGCAAGAACTATTATCTCAGCATCAACTGCAAACACACTACCATCGGAAGGCTTACTCCAAGGTATGAAAAAAATCCACTAACAGCAGGAAATAGAAAGGTTTGAGAGCTCCTCTGGAAGCCCTGAGAACCAAAGCAGGATGGCTCTGTGCAAGGCAGGCTCCAGCAGCACGGGCCCTCCAGGAGCTCTGATCAGGCACTACCCTGATCTTCATGTCTGCACACTCCAAGTTGCATATCAGCATCTTTCTGAAGCTGCTTGATGTGTGAGGCTCTTTTTTAACCTCTTGGTATCCTGTCTGTATGTGGAATGCAGAGATGTGTGTTTTTTTCCTTATTAATATAGAATAATAAAATAACGTCACCTGTTGTAATGCACCAAGAACTTTGTGGGAAAATTTTTTCCCACAGAGGGAAAATTCTGTGTCCTGCCTACTGAATGACAGGCACAAGCAGCTCCTTCTGTGCATGTGATCACATCCCACTTTGTGCGCGTTGGAGCTTTTCAAACCTCCAGAGTTTTGTGTTTAGCAAAGCAGATGTGCAAATGGAGATCGGGGTGACCTCCCCTCTGAGAAGCAGGCCTTTGACACACATTACTCCCCTGCTGACAGCACCACAAGTGTGGATCAGTTGGCATTTCACACCTGCAACTAATGCAGAAGTTGTAACAATATGAGTGAGCATTAGGGAGAGAAGGGATCCTTTGGACATAAACCAGCTATATTTAACAGGAAAGGTGCAAATCCACATTATGACTCAGGATATGTATTAGCTGCAGCCCTTCCATAACCTAGAAAGAAAGAATTATATCCAAGGGAACTTACCTCAAAGAGTTTCTCTCTCCTCAGGCAGAAGTGATGATTAGGCTAAAACTGGCCATTTGTTTTATCTGTGGGTCGGGAATAGACAATTTAGTCCTTGCAGCTTCAGCTGTCTCGGCTCAAGATCCTGACCTACAATAAATACCTCTCCAATCAATAGAGCACTGAACTTGGAGCACAGCCAAGGACCTTTCCTGGCAACTTTGGCCTGGACTGAGCTGACCTGGTAAATCTGCAGTGTTAGGGGAGAGATCTCACTGAGGATCCTGAGTTCTCCAAGTCCTCCAAGCCTTGGGAAGTCTGTGCCTCCAGTTAGGCTGCTGGGGACAGGAATTACAGCAGCTTTTCACATGCTATTTTCTTGTTGGTGACAGATGCTCTGCACTGCTCCTTGGGCTGTTTGGACTTTCCTAATGCTGCAGCACATATCCTACAACACTCGTCACTGCTCAGGGCTCTCTTCACTGGAGCAGGTCTGAAGCTGCAGAGCATTTGGGGTTGGAAGTATTTGCCCCCCCATTTAGGAGTAGCAAATTTTGTTGAGTGGACAGAAAGGTTCCACCATCCTTTGTACCAGCATGGTCTGGGAGCTCATCTCTGGATGAGTTCTGCAGGTTTCTTTGCCAGTGTCTAAAGGTGGCTGCCCCGATCCCTCCCTATAGCCTGATGCTTTCTGCCTTTCCTCCTGCCTGAGAAATGTCACTGCTGTGAATGGGCAGCTTCAGCTCCTCCTGCCAGGCTGGGAAGGAGCCACAGCAGCAATTCTCTCCTTGAAAATCAGGGTGCAACCCCCACCAAAAGGGGCCCCTGGGCAGTTACGTGACATTTCCTTGGGAAAGGAAACCGGTTCGTCACCTCTTGCTTAACGGTGTCACCTCAAGGCAGAGCTGAGGAGCACCCATGGGCACCAGAGATAAGGTTGCATTAGTAACACCCTATCCATCTTGTTCTGAAGATCGTGGAATCATAGGAAAGCTTGGGTTGAAAAAGACCTTCAAGATCACCTAGTTCCAAGACATTCTGTTTTCCAGCCTCAAATGTGACATAACATTAAAAATGTGGTGAGAGTCTCACTTACATAAATGTTAATTTATAGATTGTCCTACCAAAGAAAGTAAAGCATCTCTCCCAGCTCATCTTCCTGATTTCTCTTAGAAGATAGAACAGCTCCAAAGTAGATGAGAGCTGTCACCATCCATGACCCCTTGGGGCGAGAACTGTATGAAAACACAGAAAAGGTGTTCTTAATGCAGAATGACATAAACTACAGATGAAGTATGTGTGAATACTTTTGTGTAAGGTGACTGTATGAATGTACTCTGCAAAATGCATTTTGGGTGTCGTTGAGAATAGTAGTGCACAAAATTCAAAGTTACCAGGAATATTAAAACAGGTGGGAAAGGCACAGAATAGACAAAGGAAATTGTAGATAAAGGCAGGAAAAAGGGAAAGATGATAGATGTGGAGACAGCTAAGAGGATGACAGGTGACACAGGCAGGATGAGGTAGGACAAACCCAAATGGTTCATTAGATGGAAAAATGTCTCTCTGGCATTGTACTTTTAGTTTGTTTTTCCACAGTGGTGTTACAGTTCTGTTTCTACTGCTACTGCAAATGCAGCACTGAAGTTCTCCTGATTAGTTTTTCCCCCCTGTGTAAGATGTCCTTTATGCTGTGATGAGATCATTTGTGTATTAGTTCATTTTAATCTTTTCAGAAGGAATCCAGGAACTGTGGTGAGGTCATGACTGCAGTAATGTCTAAAAGGATGGTTTTATAGAGGAGGGGAGGAATATTCCTCTCATTTAGCAAAACTCTAACAGAATTGGTGGCTCTCAAGTGTGTTGGACAAGTTAAGGTTTGGGTTTTTTTCTGTTGTGTGTGTTTGCAAAGGACAGTCTGCTTCATACTCTTGTTTTTCCCTAAGTATTGCATAAATCTAATAAAGGTTGCAGACAAAGCACCCTGTTAGAACTTCACCTGAATAATCCTCTAGCATCATCCCGACCCATGGCACCTCCCAGTTTTACAGTCAAGAGCATGGTAAATAAATCCAGACTCCTCTGATGGCCTGAGTGTCCTCACATCAGACCTTCTGTACCACTGAGAAGGCAGATGCCTCACTGAGAGCATCCTTGTTCCCATATCAAGGAGAAAAATCCTTGGGGCATGCCCCAGGACCATGGTATCACTCTTTAATATGATATATCTGTGCCTCATGGGTCAATGGAGCAATGTCAGGCATGAGTTTGGACCGTGACATTTCAGGCAATGACCCAAAAATAAAAGTGCAAAAATTTCACTGTTACTCTGATTTTCACCTCCAGTCTTTCCCACTCTCTGTGGAAGTGACAAGACTTAATGATACAATTCTGAAATGTCTCTGGATGGATTTAATACTGGAAAGAGACATGTAGACAGATGGAATCACGTACCTTGCTTTGCCATGGCCAATGTATTATATTTTAAGGTGTTCTAACGAACTTTAAAATTATTCCCCAGCATGCATTGGTCAGAGGGGTTCTTCTGAGTTTGCCATCTTCCTGGATCCTTGAGATCGTTCCCTCTGGATCTGTTGGATCAACAGCAGAGTGGTGATAACAAATACACTGCTGCTTTAACTGTGCTTTCCCTCTCTTTGCTAAATGGATTTGTGCATACCGAGAGTTACACTGCTCGTCTTTTAGCAACTTCAGGGCATCTGTCATGTGCTCAAAACCAGTTCCCCTCTCATATCTAGAGACCAAATGTCTTGGATGATCCATGGGACACAGAAGACACCACAGGCTTAGTTTTGCTCCAGGGGTTTGAGAGATTTAGTTACCCAGAGAGGAGTGGGAGATTAATGGTGCTCGTTGATGGTGACAGGGACCTGAGTGCTCTAAATCCCATCACAGGCAGAGAAGAACCCACCTCTACACACTCCTAATATGCATAACTATGGAAAGCCTTTTAAATAAAAAAGACTAATTAATAATGCCTAGTGGTCTAGGTGTCTAAGTATGAATTGTCAGGGATTTCTGCAGGCTCAGGGAGGTGGGGAAATGGGTTAACATTGCATTGTTTCAAATTACAGGGTTTTAGATTGTTTCAAACGAGAAGCAGAGAGGGTTTCCACACCAGATTTGAGACTTTTATTCTCTTTTATTTGTACTCAAATTTCGGCTTCAGCTCACATTGTCATTCTGCCCAGGCTGCTTCCCAGACCAGCTAATTTGTCTACCTGTGTTCCATTTTAGCCTTGGTTTTAATTTGAGGATGATTCCTGCTAATACCAAAGACTGGATAGGACATCCATTAAAAGTCTACACAGCAATTGAAATGGAAAATTCCAAAAGAAACCCTATTAGAGTTTTTCTCCATCAAATCAACATTACAGACTTCTTATGCATTTCTTAATTAGACATTGATATTAACTGGACTGTTGCATGATTTAAATCTAGCTCTTAATCTCAGCTATTCTATGCTGCTGTAGTTTTTATGACATCCAACCAGCGACTGCTTTATGCATTAATCTATCTGGAAAACCACCTTCACATTTTTTTTGTCTTTTTTTAGAAGAATAAAGGCCCCAAGAAGGAAATGAAAGCTTTTGGGTTCAGCCATTAGTAATTTTCTGCTTAGTATTTGAAAAATTGCTTATTTTAATTGCTTCATAGAAGAAAAAGATATCAAAGCTAACATTCTTTCTCTCCAAACTTTGTAATTATTTCTCTCAGACTCTTATTTGAAATGCCTTGAAAGGATTTTCATTGAAATGTAGATTTCTTCTCTTTCAAAAGTACTTTTATTCCCCTGTGCTTCTTTCCCTTTTTTTTTTTTTTCCTATTGACTTCCTCTCTAGATTTAGAGCAAAAACATAGTCTCCAATGTCTGGACACTGCAGCATGTGTCACACAGATGTCCCCAAAGTGACATCTTCTTTAAACCTAACCTTCCCATGGCCTATAGACTGTGCTGACAATTTGCCTTAGGTCTTAGTCTGGTACCCTTGGGCTTCCTCCAGGGATAGCAAGGAAAAGTCATAGGTTTTATAGGGGTTTGCTCTATCTACTAATGCTGAAAAGTATTGTGTGATTTGCTAATTAATATCACCACCAAAATTAGGAAGCTAATGGAAAAATTCTGTAAAAACGTATGAGGGTATCAGTGAGCTGAAGCCAAGGCAGAGGTAAGCCTTGTACAGTTTTGGGTTCTGTTTCCAGCAGTGTAAATTCTGAATATCCTAACCCAGAGGGGAATTTACTAACCAAACCCTGTAGTTAATTCTGCATTGTATTTAAATGTCAGTAGCACAAAGCCTGAGGATCATGTTGGCCTCCACAGTAATCCTTGATACCAATACAGCAATAGCAGCAAGAAGTTCTTTATTTCACCTATACATTTTCAGAGAGCATTATTTACTAATAGATTATGATCTGGTCAAAGTGATCTATACATTCATTACATCTGGAGTGGGCTTTCATAACTCACAGGACCTAAGAATGAGGCAAAACTCGCACTTGTTTATGGTGCTGCAGTTCTGCTCAGCAAGAAAAGGTGCAGAGAAAACACTGTCCTAAGCACTTGTGGTCTGCTCTGGGTCCCAGGTGATTTCTCATGCCAGCTCACAAATATCCTTAAGAGCCTCAGAAGAGTGGGGATGTGGCTGCCCCAGAGCCACCTCAAAATGCAGCTTTGCAAATCAGTCACCCCACAAGCCTCGTGCAGCCGTGGCTGAGGTTATCTCCCCGGGGAAATCTTCCCAGTGGAACAAAACATTTTGAGAATAGAAGATGGAAATGAAGCTAAAGCATTCTCAATATCAGATTTTGCACACTTTTTTTTTTTGCAATAACACAGAGGGAAGAAAGAGAATAAGAAAATGAGTTAGAGGGAGATGGAGAGAGAGATGGTCTATTAAGCAAAGCTACTTTTTTACTCTCTGAATTTACAGTCCTGATAGACATCTCTTTTCAAAATTACTCATTTTTTATATTCAGATACTACAGCTTTCAGTACTAGATCCTAGATTTGTCTGGACAGATTACCCTCTTATTTCCACAATGAAACTTAATTATCCTTTTTATGTCTTCAGAGACTTCCAGTTATTTCCTGAACTGTTCCTGGGGACAGAGAGCAGCTGATGGGTCAGTCAGTAAAGTAAATACTCTGCATCCCTACTGTTTTTAAGACAAAAGCCCCTTGGCCCCAGGTCTTTTTAGAATATTTTGAGGGCTAGCACATATAATTTGCTCAGATCTACTTTTCTGAGCTTTTTTACTTTTTGTGACTAGGCAGAGACTCATCATTTTCTCACCACCTTTCCGTGTATTGCTTGGAAGCATCTAAATGTGACTAACTCACCTGGAATCCGTAGAGGGATATTTGAATGCGTCATCCCTGAGACAAGAATAACTCCTCCTGAAATCCAGGGTGGAATTGACTGCGTGGCTTCAAACACCCCTTCCTGTACCCCTGCTGTTGCAGCAAGAAGGAATGCATCCGAGTGCTTAGAGCCCAAATGAATAAATAAACAGGTTCAAAGCAATGGCAGGAGCACGTAGGGGTGTGGAAGTTGCTACTATTGAGTAGTTTCTGGATTTTAGGACACTCCAGGTTTCATCTGTAAAGAAAACTATAACACATAATCCACTGTCACTGCATTCTGTCTGAGCAGAGCTAACACAGAGCAGTCAACATGAAAATATCACCTAAAATAACCCAGGACCTGCAAGTACTGAACAGAAAATTATGAGTATTCATTCGGACTTTGAGAATTATTTTTTAGCTTTTTTTCTTTTTTTTTTTAAGTCTCAGTTGTTCAAATTAGAAAGTAAAGAAGCGTTACAACTAATTAAAATATAAATTGGCCACAGAAAATCACCCAAATCATCGGGAAGTAGAGAGAGAACACAACTGGGCATGTGTTATAGAATCGTGTGTGAATTAAATGCTAAATCCTAAAGGGCTGACCTGGCAAAATAATATTAATATATAAATAGAGTAGGTGTTGCTGTGGTACCCAGGTACACTTTACTGGGTTGAACAAGTAGTGGTCAAATGTAGTTTAACTAGGCTGGGATGAACAACAGACTTTGTATGGACTTTACATATTGTATTCACCCCGAATTAAACAAAATTTCTCTTACCCTGGCACAGTATTCACACTGCAGTCGCATCTCTGCATGGAAGTTCCTTCTTCCAAGTCAAACTTGTGACCCCAGCCCGAAAGCAGGAACCAGCATGGTTCAGTATCACTGAGTCTGTCATACCAAAACCAGAAATTAAGATGTCACTGAGGTATAAAACACAAGTTTCTCTGTCACACCCAACCTACATTTTCTCCAGATGAGCTCATCATACTCGGTTTCCACTATCCTCAGAGAACAGATAATCTGTTTTCTATAAATACGATAAAGAGTGCTTCAAACGACATGACATTTTTTCTATTCATCATTTCGGTGATTCAAAATAAGTGTGAAGGGAAAAGATGCTGAAAGCAACAAGCAGCAGGAGCCCAGGACTGAGGAGCTCAGGAGGCTGAGTCCCCATTTTTGCTGGGTTTTGATGGATTCTCCCATCTCAGACCTGTCACCTGAACCTTCAGCCTGGGTGCATTTACCTCCACAGGGTCCTGCAGCCCCGTGAGCTGCACAATAAACTGGGTCCTGATCTCATCTCTGCCCTCACTCCCTGCAACTGGAAAAAGAGTGATAAAAAATAATAATAAGCCCAGAATAATTATGTATTGTCTTTTTAGTGAAACAGGCCTTGAGCACTGAGAGCTCTCCACTGGGAGAAGTCCCATTTAAAAAATCTCCCTGACATAAAAATGAATCGGATCCTGTTACATGAATGGCCTGTATTTACTATTCCTTTCACTTACCTTCTAGTCGTTCATTTTCTGAGCTGACTTGAGATCTTCCTCTGTTGTCAGCAGGAATTGGGTAACAAGAACTTGCTGGAAATAGAGTGGTAAACAAATAAACAAACACAGAGAAGGACCTGCTGACTTGGCAGATGCACTATTACAACCATGATGTAAAACTATCAAACAACAAATGCAACTTCTGAATGTCTCATGACTCACATCACAAACAGTGAGGGGGGAAACTGAAAGAGAATTAATGAATTTGGAACAACACTGGATTTTCAGATCATAGGAAAATCAGGACAAGTCTGGGTTGAATTCTTGGTCTGAATCAAATATTCTTCTTCCTGTAGCCATCAATCACCACATCCATTATCTGTAAAAAATGCATCACTTGGACTACCCCAACAGCAATGACCACTCTACTATAACCAAGAAAATCAGTCAGCATCTTTGCTCTAGGGTAAGGAAAATATTTGGACACTTCAGGAGTACTCATTTCTCCTCCCAAGAGCCCAAAACCTCTAAGTGTGTTACCAGGGCTCCTTGCTTCATCTGTTTCAATTTTGAAGCTCTTGGAAAAGGTAACAGTTCACAACTGCTGCAATGGTCTTGCCCCAGGGAGATGGACAAAGCAGCAGGGCAGAGGCAGAAACACCACAAGGAACCCAACGGATGTTTTCTTGGGAAAAAGGGGAGATTAATTAAAGGGGAAAATCTGCTGGTCATTAAGTGTCCTGGAGCAACTATTGTGACACTGAAGCAGTGAGTTTCTGTGTGGCTTTAAGACATCTGCCCTGAGGAAACATTTGCAATTGAAACTGTGTCCTCCTTTTCCCAAGTCTCGGATTCCCATGGGCCAGCAGTTGCCTTGCTAAATGAAATGCTTCTTTAGGGAGACTGGCTGGCCCCAGGGATTGGTAATGCAATATAGAGCCTTTCATCTCTCACCCATGAACCCAAGTCAAACAGAGTTTGGTAAATGGCCAATAACCCCTACAATTCCAGGGCTGTTTGGTGACCTGTGCGAAATGAGGAGGGTCATCTCTGTGTCTGTTTACTAGAAGGCAAGTGTCAACTTCACCATAAAAAAGGACACAGTTACTACTCATTATCACCCAATTTAACATTCTGAAGACAAGAGAACGAGCCTGGAAAACTCAGCCATCTTCTGACCCAACCATGGCGGTCCCAGTACATCAGGGCTTGAGGAACATTAATGAGGACAGTTGCATTGTAGCAAACCAGGCTGTGCCTCTCCTGCCAACCAGAAATCCAAGTCTGAGCCACTCTCAGCTGCATGTGATTACAGTCCTTCCCAGATCCACATGGAAATCCACAGGACTCTGTCCAGTTTTTGGGTGCATTGGGCACTAAAACACAACCATGAAGTTACACAATGCTGCAGGCTTCTGCAAATCTGCATTTATGGTCTTAAATAGGCACAGGCAACTCACACAGGGACCCAGAATCCAGCACTGACAGAGTTAATGTGCTGAGGAGCCCTGCACTGAAAGGCTCTGTTCCCTCACCCATGGTGAATATAGTGTTCTGGTTACCAAAATAGCTGTATTTGGAAGGGTTGAAGGCCAGAAGCTCACTGCAGTACCCACTCTTGCCCTATGCACTGCTCATTTTAAGGTCAGACCTTTAGCATCAGGAATCTGTTAGAAGAAAGAGGAATCGCTTTAAAAGTTGTTGCCACTCTGGGGATTACCCTGGAAGGTCTGAGAGGGTAAAGGAAAGGGCAGGGGCAGATAAACACTTGGCCACATGAAAAATCAGCTGCCCCTAAATTTCAATACATCTGCATAAAACTCCCAAAACTGCAGCCAGCTTGTTCTTCCTCACAGTGTTCCCAGTCACCAGTCTCATTTTGCAGCCCTTCTCCTGCCACAGCAATGCTAACTCTGTCATTGTCAGCTGAGTTACTGTTTAATCCCTCCTATCTTGATTAATTGCATTAAATTGGTATACCTATGTTAATTAAACAGAAGATGGCAGAGGCAGCTTTTACTTCTTGTTCTTTTGTGTAGATCATTTCCCAGGGCTTCACAGGTTGTGGAAAAATAACAATACAGACACACCACACATCACATTTCAGCACAGCTGATAAAGCTATTTTTCCCATACAGTGGTCCATGATTCTTTTTGCATATCACAGTACAGGTTTAATTACCACGCTGCTGCTGCATGGCAGCTCTTCTTGCTTTTTCTTTTTTTTTATTTGTATTATTTGCAAGTCATAATCATGTTTTCCTGTCATCCCCGAGCAATGTGCATGCGTGCGTACAGGCAAATGCCAAGCCTGGAAAGGAAATTTGATGCGTGTCCATGAATTAGAGTTTTCAAACTTTGGCTGAAGATTAGTACATGTAAACATAGCTCTGCCCCCTTCATCTTGGATAATTGGTCACAAATGCTACTTGACACTTCTCAAATCAGACACTTTACATACTTCTGAGCATAGCTGAACTTTTTTGGCAGGAATTAATTTGCTTTGCAACTTAGCTGCTCATTCCTGGCCCGATCCCTGCTGCAGTGATTTCAGGGCAATGTTCTGCCCGTGTGAGGAGCACAGAGGCAGGACCGGATCTGTTTGCCAGCGCCGACGAGCCCGGCTCTGTTGACTCCCTCAGAAAAACAATTACTGCAGCTAATGTTCTGCCCTTTGCCAGCCTTGATTAACACTGGGGTTTTTACCTTCAGGCCCCTCTTTCTATTCCAATGACTGAGCAAGTTATAATGCATCAGGGGACATCACAAAAGAATGGGGAAGGAGATGTAGCATCCCCAGAAAATGCAACTTTTGACATACCAAAACCCTTCCACAGCTTTATGGGAGATGGTCACAGACACCATCCAAGGAAACTCTCTCATTTTTTTTTTTCCTGCCCTTCCTGCAAACAGTGCACGCTCCAGCAGAGAGGGGAAATCCATTTCTGGAGTAGTGATGGAGTTTGAAGCAGGCACAGAATTTCGTGCTATTAAAGAGCCCCCTGTTTGCTCTGACAGTTCAGTGTGTTTACTCACCCTGCACCAGCACTGAGAGAGCTGAGCAGACCATATGCTCACTTAGAAGGGCTGCCAGGTCTCAGGGAGCATTGCTGTGCCTGCTCCAGGAGGGGTCTGGGACAAGAACACATTCCATGAAGGATTTCACTAGGAATATTGTATTTTATCTGGTGATTTATTTCTGTCCAGTCTCTGGACTAAATGGCAGATTATCAGCATTTCCATGTAGATCTATGAATAACCAGTAGAAAATCTCATTTGCCCTTTATTCACTGAGATGTTGATAAGCTGCAGCATATTAAAAATATTTGTCAGTTTGTTCTTCTCAGCTATCAAGTAGGGTATGTGCCAGCATGGCTGCTTCACCCAGAAAATGGAGAGAAAATGACTAAAACAATGTCGGTTCTAGGAGAAGGTGACCATTTGCATGAGTTATTTTAGGATTATTGCCTTGCTTCTAACTAAAACTTAAATCTGTAAATTATATTGAGCCCCTACCTGCAGAAGCAAAGGGTGGAACTTTGTGCTGTGCTTCAGGTGTAGAGAGGAGCAAATCCCTGGTGGTGCACTTGTATTTCCTTGGTTCTCAGGGCTTCCTGCAGCTCGAAGCACTGATGAGGAGTAGCCAAGACAGAAAGAGTCCCCACCTCTGGCCTCTTGTGCCATGACCAAGAGCTGGCCCCAGGGCCAGGGAACCAGCTGCATCAGCCACCTTTGAGTGCTTGGTCCCCCTGCTTTCCAATCATGGTCTTGTGATGCTTCATCCCTAGAAAAGAAGGGTAGCTCCTGTTATCAGAAATATGGCAGATTCACTGGGGAGAAGCAATAATTGCCCCAGAATTCAAAAAAAAGACATGGCATGTTAGTATGTCTTGAGTTTTTATAGGTTCATGGTTTAAAATAAACAAATTGAGATGTATTTTGCTTCCTTCTGTTTAACTCTGATGTTTGAATCACTGTGGGAGTGGTGGGTATGATATTCCTAGGTTGAACAAGGCAACAATTGGCCAAGAGATATAGCACAGCTCTAAAGTCTGAGCTAAGGAGGATGCTTGGTTTCCATTACTATTATCTATGACTATAAATTTAGCTTTCAGGTCCTAGACATTTTAAAATAACATGTCTAGTGTTGGAATAGGAGACTATCAGAAAAAGTGAATTACAGGTTACAGGCTTCCAGGATTTGCAGTAAAAGAACTATTACTGTAATTACACCTGTGGAGTCCTCATTTATGTTGTTATTAGGGGAAAGGATGGGAGAATTAGGATGTATGGAAAGAAAACATTGCAGAAGGGGAGCTAAATAGTTTAGCTGGGACAAAGAACTATGATGGCTCCTGGTCACAGTTGTGTTTCCAGCACATGAAATCACCATGTGCATGTGGACCTGAAATGTCCAGGGATTTAGGTGAAACCACTATGGATCACCAGTATCTGGTACAAATAGAAACAAACCTGAGCCCCTAGATTGGGAGCTGATACCTTTTTGTACCATTGAACACCTCCATGGTCTCTGCTGGGTGCAAATGGGGATTGACCAAGTGACTCCATGAGCTCCATTCTTCAGAGACAAAAGTCCTTCCCCATCCTCAAAGAAGATCAAACCCAGATTCTTGAAGATTTGGAATTAGACTAGAATAGGGAAAAACAAAATCTTTCTTTTTAGGGGAGAGGTGAATCTCCATTTTGTCTCGTTATTTTGTCAGGGCTGAGTGGCCATTATTAGTCCATGGCTACTTGCTGGTGTAAATCCAGTGTCACCTCCTGGATGTCATTACTTAAAGTCAGCAAATTTGTGCTTCAGTGGCCGAAGATTTGCTTGCTTAATGCCTGGTTTCATCAACAAATTCAGGCTGGCAATGACATCCTACTTGTCTAAGTTAATATACAGCTTTGCACTGTCCTTGTTTCCCTTCCCATTCAAACTTATGGCTCTGTGTTGGTGTCTACCAAAAACCAGCATCACAGCTGAAGAGAATAAAGTGATGAACGAACATGAGGTTTGCATGTAGATAATTAGAAGTCCGGCTGAGTAGATCACATTATTTAATGTATCATCATTATGTTTGTATTTAAAAAGCATTTAAAATATATTATTTCTTCTATTACTCCATCTCTTCAGTGCTCTGACACCAGGGTTGAATCGTGCTGTGTGTTTTGGTAGAGATTTGTTCTCTAAAACATGATGGAACTATGTGGATCCACTGTAATAAGTGAGTTGTCCCTGCTTGAGGAAACTCTTGTGTCAAGAGTAAAATCCTTGTTTGGCTGTGCCGCAAGAAGCAGGATGGTATTTAATTATGACAGCTGAAACTCATCTCCAAGTGCAGACAATATTGATTTGTTCCAATAGAGAAAAGGTGGAATTAAAAAGCTGGTTTACTTAGAAATTTACGTATTCCTAAAAATGTCTGTTCAGCTCATTTTTAAATTTGATTTCTTATCCCAGGTGAATTACACTGCATTTCTGAATCTCAAGAACTGCCTGTGCCCGATAACAGCTGATCGAAGTATACCAGCATAATTCAGTTGTTTTGATTGTAAGATTTTTGCTTGCTGCTTTATTGGACAATGGTGTTTGCAAAAGAGAGTTGAAGAGCACCAGAGATGGAATTACAGCCCACAGTTGGTGCATGAGACTCAATATTAGGATAGGACCACAGTCTATAAGGTCAGTGGCAAATTATACCAGCTAGCAGGCAACATCAATGCCTGGTTCTGTAAAAAAAACCAGCAAGGAGAATCTGTGCCAGAGTCCCAGCATGACAAATGAACTTGGGCAAGTTGAAGATAATCATGATTATTTAATATTCCACAGCTCTACAACTTGATACTCTGTGGACAAAAGATCAGAAGTCTGCTGAATCCAAAGTTTTGAATCTTTGGGTCAATATGCTTCTCATGTCTTCAACATTGTTTAATTTAGGAGGAAACAGTTCTGAGCTAAGATAAGATCTCAGACAAAATTGACGTGGACTCACAACATGGCCTAACATAACAATTTAATCTGTCCTGTGCTTCCCCTGAAAGAAGGCTTAATAACTGTGGTATGATTTCACCTGCTGCTTCTAACATTTGCTCATTCTTTTTTCCTGAGCAAATTTGGATTATCAGATGGCGAGCAGCTTTGTTCATAGTAGACAAACTTGAATTCATTTAGGATTAATAACAATAGGTTCAATCTTGGATTCAATGGCAGTTCTTAATGAATGGAGTCTTTGGAAGATAAATGTTTGTTTGTGTGAAAAGAGAAATAATTAATTCTCCATTTTTCTGGGTATGAGGTGATTATAGTACATATCACAAAATGTTTTCCCTGTGTTTCCAGCCCTGGGTATAAGAACTGCAAGAATGTTCCCCAAGCCCCAGCATTGCAGATATGAGCCATTTTGACCTTGTCATTTCAAAATCTGAAGTTTTGCAATGAATTGCTTGTGTGAGAAAAAAAAATGTATCTCTTACTCACAGTACTCTCAGGTGCTCCTGGAGATCTGATGCAGGTTAGTGAGGAGGGAGGGAGGAAGGTCCACATCACTGCGATCCATCAGCAGCCATGGGTCAGCACTGGGTCACTTGCATGAAGGAGTCAAGGCTGGATTTTGGCCCAATCCTCACCATTGCCTTAGACATGGGCATCTTCCAAATTCCTCTGGGAAATCCCACGTTCTTCATCACTGTCCCTGTCTCTTGGGAAGCAGCCGGAGCCCACCGTGCCCGGCCAGGAGAGGCTGTGCTGCCCAGCACCCGGTACCCACTGACCTCAGGAGGAATTAACAGGCTCCAGCAAACGTACCCTGCAGGCAATTTTACCCTGCAAAAACATCACCCACATTGCTAGACTTTAGGACAACAAATTAGAGCTTTTAATATGCACTGGCCGCTTTTTTTTTTTCACCCCCCCATCCCCACACCACCACCATCCCCCCTCCCAGCCCAGTAACATCCAGTTGCTTAATTCCATTTGAAATCACCCGGGTTAGGCACCTAAATAATCTTGTCCTTCATGCCTGTCAACATCTTGAGGCACCTAACCACCTTTAGAGATGTGGTGTGAAAGCTTGTGAACGATGCAATCGAGGAGGGAAACAAAAGACAAGTATCCCTATTTGCTGCCCAAGAATCCACAAAGAATGCTGCTTCAGCTCTGCTCTGATTTCTAATTAGATTATGAGTGATGTAGGACTCTGAAGCCAAGCTGGAGTTTGTGCTAGCACTTTGCATGTATGAATGACAAAGGGACACCACTTTCATATTGATTTAAGCAAGCCAGTGGAAGAATGTTTAAACATCAAGTGCTTGATGTCCCAGTTTGCCAGAGCACCTGGAAATATCAAATTAATTCCAGGTGTTCTGCCATTAAGAAAGGCTTGCTGCTTTTACAGCCACACATACAAAATGTGGCTCCCAGTTCCACAAATAAAAACGGAATGGTTTCTGCTCCTAATGCCTCGGTAACTCCGACATATTGCAAGTTCTGGAAAGAATTTTAATCTACATAGTTTTTTTTTTTAAATGGGGAGGGGAGTGAGGGGGGAAAGATTTTAAATATGCTGCATACAATTTGTGATGGTCATCTCTAAAATGCAGCTCCATTATCCTTTTCCATTTGGAATGAATGAGGCTAATTAATTTCAGGCCATACTTGATGAGGTCAGCACCATACGAAGGGTGCGTGCTAGACATTGCTAATCTCTTTCAGCTGAGAGTGATGAATTAAAGATGAAGCATTCCTTTGCAGGCCTAATTTAGAATGTATATCAAAAACCTACAGCAAATAATACTATACCCTACAACAAAGGAAAACTTGTTCTCTCAGGCTCCCATGTAGGGTTGATTTTAAAGGCATTTTCATTTCGCTTTGGAATTCCAGCTGTGGATGGGTGAAACAGTTCAGAAAATTCAAGCTTTCTCTCGTTCTATTGCTTTTATGGACAAAAGTAGGCAAGGGGGGGCTAAGGGGAGAGAGAAACTGGTCCGTGTTTGATCCTGTATGTCCTGTGATTCTGACTGTACGCTCGGCATTTGGGAAACCAAGCACCTGTGACGTGACACCCCCCAGGGCCACACTCACATCTTGCTGTTGGGGATTCCTAGGTCTGAGGGGAAAGCAGTCAAGGGTCCCCTTTGGTTCAGCAACATCCCAAGAATGTTTTGTTGGACATTGCTGGGTCACCCAACAAGGACAGGAGCTTCCAAGCCTTATAGAGCTGTCATTCTCCCCAGGGATAAACACCTCCCTATGCAAAAAGGTCCCATCACATCTAGATAGCAGATAACAAAACTAAATGGAACAAATCACTGTGAAAGCAACCAGGTCTGGGAGCAGGACAAATTTCTACAAAACTCCCAAACTTGACTGGAGCTGAGGCTCAGCCAAGTTTTGCCACCTTTCCCTCAAGGCAAAGCCACCCACAAAGTCCACAGGGGTTTCCCCCAAGCGAGGGACTGCAGGATTTGTCCCTGTGGGCAGCAAGAAGCTGAATTGTCATTTTGGTAAAACAGAGACTTATGAAATCCTAACCCAGCCTCAGAAGGAGGCTGCAAACAATAGACCAGCATCCTCCCCAGCATTTCTCTGCTCACTACCTGGCAGTTCCTTGGAATTCTTGACAGGTTGCTGCAGCGAGTGGAAGTTCCCAACTGGTGGCCATAAGCGGCTGCCGTCTTTGTATCCCAGTAGTCCTCATTAGAACAAAGCTGCTTCGAATTAAATCCAATCTACATGCCGAATCAATCTTTCAACCCTTTGATTGCTTCTGAAAATATTTATACTTCTTAATAATGCACATTTTGTCCCAAAGCCTGTGATTAAACCCAGACAAGGTCCGGAGAAGCCTGAAGTATATGGGGAAGGGGTTATTTTGGACAGGAAAAGAAAGATAAAGACACAGGTTTTTCCTATTGTGAAATCATTAGAGTGTATAAATCTAGCAATTGCAGTTGTATAAGCATCAGAGTGGGGTTGTAATAAATACAGATTGGAGTATTATAGTAACCAAATGGAGTTTATGGATTATGTTCACTAGTTCATATTTCTCAGCTACTACAACCTAACTAGCTTCATGCTGCACTCACCTCTGGTAATATTCCCTATTAATATTCCCTTTACGTGTTTGTGGGGGGAAAAAAAAAGTTAGGATTCAACTGCTGCTCTGTGTAAAACAAATATGTTTAAAGAATCATGCCCTCCAAAGAAAAAAAATAAACACGGGGATGCTGCAAAGCGACCGTGTTCGAAGGGCACAGGCTGTGGCTGGCTGAAATCGCCCTGTTCTGCTGAAAGTTAATAACTTCCATCTGAGTGGGATCTGCTCCTAATGCAGGGCATTTGCTGGGAGAAAATTGGGGTGTAAAAACGAGGAAAATAACTTCTGCTATCCCTTACCCTGGTGGATTTTTAGGGTGGTAAATAATAAGCTTTGGCTGGAGATGAGAAGCGCACAAAGGCTTTGAAACTGGGCTGTGTGGTAAACAGCGCGTTATTCCCTTCTCAAAAAACAAAGTGAATCACAGGTGAGACATGAGGAGATGAAGGGAAGGAAACATTCCCTGGCTAAGAAATAACCCAGACAGGGCCAGATCCTCCAGAGTGGGGGTCTGCCGTCGATTAAGAAGGTGCTGGTGGCTGGGGACGCAGATCAGATAAAGGCTCTGTACCTGTCTCCTTCCTGAAACACAAATGACTGCCCTTGTCCCTTAAAAAAGGGAAAAATTGACTTTGGAAAACACACCATGATAAATCTCCTAGGATATAGTATGCAGTGTCTGTGTGAGAGGGAAAGAAATCCTAGAAACTAAAAGTCTTCAGTGCTTATTTAATATCATTGTCATCAGCAGCATCAGATGGTAAATGCAGGTAATATTCCTCAGGAGTGGGCTGATAAATGCTTGTGGTAGTTTTGCTCGTGACAGTTTCCCCTTTCATAAAGGAGAGAGAGAAATATTCTCAGCTAAAATATTATTCATTGACTCTTTCATCACGTAGTTCATTATATTAAGTTGTTATTTCCTAAATATGTTAGGGGGTGGTAATATTATTATACATATATCCTGAGTCATGATGGCTGTTTTGCATTAATGTATGATTTGGATGCTCAGTCTTTAAGGTAGAGAGAAGGGGTGTGTTTATCATGACCATAAATAAGGGGAGAGCAGAGATTGTAAAAAAACTCTCATAAATAGGGATGGATCCAAAATCTAATGACACGCATGAAAATTCCTTTTGGATCAGACCCCCATCAAAACTCTGTATTATATAACCAGCATTTTCTGAGTATCTTCTATTGTTTGACAGCCCTGATTTCACACTGAACTTGGAGTTCATTTCTGAACAGAAGCTTTTTCTATAGAAACTTTTAATCATATCTTATTGTGAACACACACATACCATCGAGGATATTGTCTTATTAAAGAGTTTAAGCCTAAAGGTGTATGCCTACTTTTAAAAGAAATTTTCTGATTGTAGATAACTGCTCAATTTGATTTAGTGTCCAATGATAGTGATGGGGTTGATAACTGAGCATTCATCGGTAATTCATCTTGTGCTAGTAGAAATTTACAGCAAAGCAGTGCTTTCCCAACACTGACAAGTCCTATTAATCTTCTTCAGACACATTTCAATAGGTGTCTCCATCTGTGCCCAACATCTAAACACTCTGGCACCACTGGGGACTTGGAGACACCTTCATTTCAGGTTACACTAGTGAAAATGTGATACTAGATTGTACTCTATTTTTAACCTAATTCTCTCTTTTCATTCAATTAGCCTTTCTTGCCTGCATTTTTCTACTCGTGTGTAACATCCTTTTCCCAGGAATAGCTTAAAAATGAGATTTAGTTACTTAAAGAGACAGAATCTGCCAGGGCAAGAGCAGCCAAGAGCTTAGCACAGAAAAGCAGAATAACAAAGCTCAGGGACACAGCGTGGAGACAGAATTGCCACTCACCAAACACATCCCGAGCAGCAGTCCCACAATATTCCCCTCCTGATGCACCTCTTGCAGGCACCACAGGGTTAGGACAGGTCTGAAACTAGAACTGAAAACAATTGCAGGATGTTTGGGTGTTGAAATCCCAAAGAGCTCTGTTTGTTCGCGCTGCACGGGGATCCCCACCATCCATCCCCACTTCGCTTTACATATACAACTAATGCATGAACAAACACAGAGCAGTCAAATTACAGCAATAACATTTATGGGTGGATTATGTTCCAACTTCCTCACTTATTATTAAAAGCGAGTAAATTGCGAAGCACATGGAAGAGGTAGGGTGCAAATGCAGGCGAATTTCCACTCTGAACCAAATGTTGTTTTTTCACTTTCAAAGCTGCGATGAGTTTGCGAGCAGACGCAGCACAGCTTTAAAGCTTACTCATTCAAAAATGTGTGTTTGGGTTCCTCTTTTTTTTTTTTTTTTTTTTCCCTCTCTCTCCCCTCCTTACTCCATTTACATTTTGCCTTTCAAAGAGGAGCAGATGCACACCATTTGGGTTTGGGTGGCTCCTACTTGCTCTGAACTTTCTTCTGAAAAGAGCAAACCGTGAGCCATGCGTCTGCTCCGCGCTGCAGAGGCAGCCTCAAACTTTGTTTCTGGCTTTATGAAGTTCTCTCGTGAGTCGTATTATAGATCTAAATGACCTTATTGTAGGTGGCAAGTTTAAATGTGCCATATTAATAACTTGTTATCCAAGACAAATTAAGTCCTTATGTGTCAAAAGCACTCTGTTCTGGATTACCTACAAGACAAGTATTTATTGAATAAACGTTGGATCCAATTTCATTTTAATGTGACTGACTGTATGCTGCAGCCCCTTAGAATGAGATAAAAACACTCAAACCTACAACTGTGTTGCAACATTACACCTAACTTGTCTATTTCTATTATTGTCTTTTTAACATGGGATCTCAAAAGTGTTTGGGGGGGTTTAAGGATTTAATATTATTATTGTTATTATTTTTTCTGAAGAGCAAGGAGAGAGATAGAAAAAAAAAGACTGGCATTCAGCCTAAAGAGAAATCATTGAAACAAATTAATCCTATGCCGTTTAAATTGACATGGTAATCCATCATCAGCAAAGGGAAACTCTGAAAGCAATCTAGAATCTGCAGTGTTCTTTCACTGGCCCTCAGGCACAAAGACAGATAGTAAAAGAGGAAGGGGGGAAAAAAATCATAAAAGTTAGCAGCACCTTGGCATAGGGAAGGGCTAGAGAAAGCAGCTTTCACTTTTTCCTGCTTTCAAGCAGCCAGCTCAGAAAGCAGCGCTGATTAACCTTCAGTCACTGCCTGCTAAGGTTTGCTTGTGTGTCAGATCATCTTCAGCCGCTGGGATGGGAGTTATTTCAAATAGTGCAGAGCCCCCGTTCTGTATACACTCCACCATTGAAAACTCTGCCAAACATCAACTTGGGCATTTCTGCTTACAGAGGGCCTTTTATTAGCCTAAACTTGATCATTCCAAATGGACAATAAATTCTATCTGCAGAGCCCTGCAGAAAATAGCTGTACTATCCTTGGGAGTTTAATAGGCAGGATTTTCATAGAGCTAGCATGAAAAAAACTGGGGGGGGGGTTTATTTGGGTTTGGACTCAGGGTATTTTTTTGTCTATCCCCTGCTTTCTCAGTGGGGCTATCCACCATAATATATGTTTCCCAAGAGATTTTTCAAACTAGTTTTAAATATCTAAAGTGATGAGACTTTGTGCACCTTTAAAATTTTATTAGACTTACGGTCAGAAGAAAACATAAACCTCTTGGGCCTTGAAAGCCCATTGCAATACAGCCATTATCCCTATAATGTCAACAGAGCTACAAAATTCTCTAGAAATAAACCTTTTAAGAACAGCTTTCCCTGCTTCATGTTTTCTTTTAAGGTCAGTGGTGCATCACTTTTTTGGAAAGCGTTTCCCCTCTCTGGCCAGGTTTAGCAGTGTGAAATAGAATGTATATTACTAAATGAATAGGTTTAATTTTAGACACTGAAAAAATAAATAGAAGAAGAGAGCCAGGGCAGGAATAATACCTTTCAGTTAGAAACAGACATAGTAGAAAGAAAAAGTCAGAACTTTAGTGCCAGGGGCAAAGGGGTGAAAGGCTGGCTAATATGAACCATATCCAACATCTGCCCTATTTTAATTTAGCAGGGATAAAGTTTCTTCTTTTTTATTATTAAGAAAACTTTATGTGGCAGAGAAACCCATGAGCTATGTTATCAAAACTGTTTTATTGTCACACTGAAACTTAGAACTATTAAGAATTGGCGGGGCAAAGAGATAAAAACTCCCCTTCTCTCTCCTTTTATACTCTGTGACAAGCCTGGGCTCGGGTCCTGCTGACTGGGATGTCCTTTTCATGTCTTTATGAAGTACTGCACTTGGGGCTCTAATATAAAGGGGAGGTTAATTGTTCAGGATGGGTCCAGATGATTGATTCTCCAGGTTTAAAAAAGTAAATTAATACATTTTAAAAAATCTGAGTATTTAAAACAAAATCCTGATGCGGTGGTCGCCCTCAGAGTGAGCAATGGTGGTGGGGCACAAGTGTAAAGAAGGGCTGGGCTGGGGACCTGTATGAGAAACAGCCCAAGTTGCCAGGCTGGAACATGATCTCATTCCACCTAAAAGTTTTCCACCTCAATAGTGCAAATTCCACTATAAAATAACAAAGTGTACCACACCACATGTGAGTAGCTGTAGGAGTAAGAGAGCAAATTGGTTTCTGACAAAAGAAGGATGAATACCTTCGGATAATCTAAAGTTAAAATTTGATTGAAAGCATAACATTCCTCTAAGCATCAATATGCTTAGGATCCAAAATATGGTTATTTTATTACCAGTTAATACTTAGATCAAAGCAAAACACTGTAGCTGGAAGGGACATTCTCTCTGGAAATAAAGTTCCATGTAATTATTTCCTATTAAAAACTAAAACTGGTCTCAGATTCAAAAATTTGGGCTTCCTTACATGTGATATAATGCAAGCTTGTCAAGAGAGAGCAGATGTACCATTTTTCACTGTTTGCTGGTATCTCTTTGCTTTAAAGTTTTCGGTTTAACTTTAACCCCTTGAATGTGAAAGATTCTCATCCAATTTACCTCGATCAGACCAGGGAGACTGTTTTGGATTATATAGACTCATTTCCTTATGATAAGAAATTAGGATTTGATATGAGCTAACATCATTTCAAATAAAGCCTGCGACTGTAAAGAGGTAAAATCTAAAGAAAATGATATGGCGATGGGTAGGCAGCTGAAAGTTAAATATTAAATTGTAAACAAAGGTTTTACTCTTGGGCAAAACAGCTCATCTTAATTCAGTTCGAGACATGGAGTTTAAAATATGCACTCAAAATACTTCCAAGAAAGCTGCAACCTTTCAGAGGAGAGAGATAAGAATGTATTTTAATTATGAGGTTATAAATATGCGATAGATTTAATTTTTTTTTACCAACTCCTGATGCGCTACGTAACATTGTTCAGATGCAGTTATACATTTATCTGTCTGTCTCTATTCCTGTCCAGGGTTTTGCTTTTATTTTATTCTTTCTCTTTTTTTTTTTTTTTTCTTCCCTCCTGATAGCTCAATCTCTATTTATGGCATCGTTGAGACAGGGCCTGGGAAAAAAAAAAGAATCTATCCTTCTGTATTTATAAACCACCACAGAATAAATAGGGAATGGTTCCTTTTTACAGCTGAAGGGCTGGTATTATAAGTAGCAATATGAAATATTTAGACACATTATTTCAAGCTTCCCGGCTGCTTCTGATTCTGCTAATTATTTTTGATCTGTCAGTCAGAAATAAAAAAATAAATAAATAAAACTTTAAAGAGTTCATTAGGACTGCGGAAAGGAAGAAGAGTCAGATATAAGGCAGCAATTATAATTTGGTTTTAACATGTTTTTTTCATTTTTTGCTGACTCCTCAGCTACATTGTTTAGTAGAAGGATGGCTACAATATACTTCTACATTAAAGCCTGTTAAATAGGGAAGAAGCTGAGACACTCAGCTGGGATATTGTTTGCTAGCTCAATTAGTATCCCAAGAATTTCAAAGTACAATAAATGTATCTGAAGATCATATCTAAACATACTTACCAAAAAGTACCCACCTCTCTCAGCAGTTCACATATTTCTGCCTTCTAACTGGGAGGGGAGGAAAAAAAAAAAAGAAAAAGAAAAAAAAAGGCAGTTCGATGTGTAGGTTAAGATTGGCGTGTGGCAAGGTTTGTGTGAGATACAAAGAAATCTGTATTTCACTCAACAATTTCATTGCTTAAACATATAGTTTAGAAGCATCTTTTCCTTAAACATGTGGTTCAATAACATTTTCTTCAAAGGAACAACTCTGTGTGTTAAAAGATTTAAGAACAAAGAATGTGCTGCAAAATGCAAATTCCTCCAGTGTTACACTGTGTATGCAATTATGTATGTAGGCAGATAGATATAATTTGAGAGTTATTAACTTTCAACATCAATGATGTACCCTGAATCAATACAATGTAACTACCTATTAAAATATAAACCAGGTGTGTTCCCAGGCAAATATAGTCTCAGAAGCTTTTCTAGATTTTTTTTTTTCCCTTTAAAGATTACAGCTCTACTGTGGACAAGAAGCTCAAGAGATTGGTGCTGGTCCTAAAGATGGAGATTGCTTTGCTTTTTGCTGATGGTTCTAGAATGTTTCATTCCCTCCACGTTTAGGGGAAAAAAAAAATTTAAATAATAAATAATATTGAAATGGTGTGAAGGGGATGAATTGTCTCACAAATATCCATATATTTATATATTTATACGCCTCCGGATGCATAGGAAAGAGAAAAGTTCCCTATTTCCATATTTCCTTTGGCTGAAGGGAGAGAATGAAGGGAGCAGAAATCATTTTAAGCTTTGCCCTCCCGGCGGATCGACCCCTCTCGCAAATCCCTTTCTCCCGGCCGCCCTCCCTCGCTCACAGCCCCGCGCAGTTAACCTTGGAGCCGCGCCGGGCAGGGAAGGGTTAATGAAACCCAGCTCTTTACGACCTCCAGGGTCAGACTCTTCCTATCTGCAATCTAAGGAATTAGGTAAGGAGGTTATAAGATTATAGTGAAAGGAGTTATAGGCCCTCGTAGCCTCACACCTGAACATATTGGGCTAATCCGCTGGGATTCTTAAAAATCGCTTCAGCTATGGAAAACTGTTAATTAGGCTGGGTCTGTCCCGAGGTTTCCTGTTGCATTACAGATCCAGCCGAGCTGCCTGCGCTCCTTAGGCTCGACTGAAACGCTCCTAGTGTGCCCAACTTTCTGTCCCTTCTCCACAGCTGAAATCACCACCAGCCCCTGATTTCGGGGTCAAAAAAAAGCAAAGCTGGGGGAAAATTCAACCCCAGAGATGAACAAAAGTCACCCCCCTCCGGTCCCTGAGCCCTGGGTGCCCGGCTGGCTATTTGCAGCTGTTTCTAACTTCAGTGTTTGTTTACAGTAGCAAAATTAGCACTTGGAGGAGAAGTGAAAAGCTGTTTTCACATCAGTTTTACTCCTCGGTTCCTAGCTTGAGATGCCTTTCCTCCCTCCCAGCAATCAGCATCATTTAAAGTGCGGCACAAACTTTCTCTCGCTGCTTTGGCTTAGTTGTCTGCAGTCGCATCCTATTTTCTGCTGAAGAAAAATACGCGGGGAGAAGGCAGCATGTGAACACGGGCCAAACATCACGGATTCGAGGCAAAAAAATAATATTCATAATCCCGAGCATCCCCCCAGAACGTATTTCAATGTGGCATGGCAGAGCCCTGCCCTAGTCCCAGCTTTCTGCCCTTTGGCACTCAGATATTTGCTTGTCTCCAGCAAAGTTTTCTTTAATCCGCCGAGACACCCCAGGGCTGTACCTGAGCCACGGCTAAATTGCTCCCTACAGCCGATAAAATCCTGCAGCAGCAACTCCCCAGCTTCAATACTTAAAGCAAGGGCTGCTTTTCGCCATTTTGTCATTTGCAGAAATGCTGAATTTTTTTTGTTTTTTTAAATTTTTTTTTTCCTATGCCACTTGTGGTCACCCTCGAATGGCAGTAATCTGTAGATTACATATTACGAGCCTTGTCATTATGTGGATAAAATGAGGTGGTTAAACGCTAAAATCCATTTTACTCACCACATTTGCTTGTGGGGAGGGAGGGGGGCGGGAAGGAGAGGGGAGGACAAACTTGTAGGAGAAGGATTGAAACCCCTCGGATGGGAGCTGGATGTGCTGTCAGAGCCCTCTCTGCCTGCTGGGTACACGGGCTGGGCACCCCTCAACTTCACCTCCAAGGCAGGCAGGCGCCCGATCACTCCAGCCCTTCTCCCTCGCTCCTGAGCCTTTTGTCCCCATTTTCGTGGTGTCTCAGCTTTGCTCCACAGAGGCGACTTTTCTCTGCCTCTCCTGGATTTGCTCTGTAGCATTTCTAGGCTCCTACTCTCCAGCTCTCCCCCCGTTTGCCTCTTTCATCTGCGTCCCTGATCCCTCTCCAGCTGATGTGATTCTTTAGAAATGTGGGTCTTATCCCGTCCCTACCTTTGCCGGCTCTGATTAGATATTATTTTTTCATTGGCTCTGCTAAAATGGGTTCCTCCCTTTAATCTCTCGGTATATTTTCCCCCTCCCGGTATAACCAAATCCATGAAATTCACAGCCTCTCTCTTTGACACGACTGGTTCGTCTAATCACTCCATATCGATTTCCCTAACTCTTTTCATCCAGCTGAAGACACATTTTAAAACACTCCAAGCCAGAGTGTGCTCTTTGCTTTATACACACTAATAAAATGATTTACCCTTCTCTCTCTGCTCTCCTCACAGGAGAAAATCGTTCAAGTCGCGGCTATTTGTGTGTGATCAGTAAATATTTAGTGTGGCGACATCCTCAGCTCCTCTCCTGATCAATACGCAACCCAACAGGAGGTGGACTATTGTCCGGGTAGTGACTTGCTGAGATCTCCTTTAGATGAATCCTTTGCCCCCCATACTGTCTGTTATGATTTATCCTCGAAGGTGACCAATAAAGCAAAACCGAGTCTTTAAACCCGTCTGTTTCTAACCTGTTTACCGTGCCATTAAAGCACCTAAGCGAGGAATGGCTTCTCCATCCCCGTCTCCCACATCCCTGGCATGGGCTGACACACGCAGGGCGCTGCTGGAAAATGGGGATCAGAGCGGGCAGCTCTGCACCCCTGAACCTCTGTTCCCCTTGTTCCCCTGCAGGAAAGCCCCGGCCGCTCTCTGCGCTGCGGTGTCACGGCTCTGAGAGGGCGATTCCCCGCTCGCACCCACCCTGCAGCACCCCCGGGCACAGCTCAGCCCCAGCCGGTGCCCACGGTGTGCCCAGGGATGGAGGGTGCCCCAGCAACTTCCAGCCCGCCTCCCTCCTCCTCCTCACCGCATCCCGCGGCTCTGCCTGCCCCAGGAGCAGGCTGGGGCAGGGCTGCTGGGGGCTCAGTGGTTTGTTGGTTTGTTTGTTTGTCTGGGGTTTTTTGGTTTGGGGTGGTGTTTTGTTTTGTTTTGTTTTTTTTGAACGACATGGAAAAGCTGCAGTGAAGGAAAATAATAATAATAGTAATAAAGGAAATGGAGAAGAGCTTTAAAGCGCGTTTCCTGTGGTTAACCATAACGAGAGCTTTCCCAGAGTGATAAAATGGGTAGCAGGAGAAGTTCGCGTGTGGATGTGTGCGTGCTTTATCCTGATGCGCTCTTTCACTGCTGGCAAAGCCAATGCCTCCCCTTGTAACACCCCAGGAGCTGCTGTGCCCGCCGAGGTGTCCGAGGCAGCAGTGGTGCCTGTCTGATGCAGCCTGGGTGCCTCCACACAATGGCCACCCAGTGATCTCTGCATCGCCTCTGTGTGCTCGCTCGCACCATGCCCTGCAGCCCACAGAGGTGCCCAGATATTTATTTTATCCCCGTGCCTGTGCCTTTGCACCTCAGTTCTGGGTCGGAGGCGTTCATCTCTGGAAATGGACATTGCCTGCACAGGCGCTGCATAAATCCAGGGCTGTGTATTACAGATGTGCGACTGTTATTCAAATGTAAAACCAGCTACATCCACCTGTTAACTTTGTTTAGAAACCACTTTCACTAATGGCTTTTCTCTAACTTATTCAGCCCGTTACTCGAGTATAGGAGGCAATGGAGGGGAAAAATCCATATGAAACCCTGCTCACAGGCTCTCTTCGAGAGGACACTTTCCACACCTTGCCTAGACAGGGCTCCTATAGAGCGCTTATCTCTCGAATATATCTTTATACTAATGCATACTTAATTGGTCTGTCTTGACTGTCCATATAAAACAATTTAATTAGGGTGCTTTCTGCTTTGGAAAGAAAGAAAAAAAAAAATCTGCCCAGCATTTATTGTATTTAGCACCAATACAGGCAGAAAATGTTGCACAAGTTTTTGGTTGAAAGAGCACCTATGTGTCCATTGAAGGGCGTTGATCCGAAAAGACAGAGAGGACAAGTAAAATCGATTTGAAGCAACCCTCTCTGTCCCTTTCACACCATTCAGACACTCCATTCCTTCTAAGACAAAGACCCAGCGCCTTGGGAATGCTGGCAAGGCGGGGGGGGAGGGGGGGGGGAAGGAGGAAAAAAGGAAAAAAAGAGGGGAGAAAAAAAAAAAAAAAGGAAAAAAAAGCTTCAATCCCCCCAAGCGAAAGGGAGAGCTCTGAAATTCCTTCATATTGCTGTTATTTACCCCCGAAGATATGTTCAGCTCCAGGATTTTCTTCAATTCGGCGTCTAACACTGCTGCTGCGAGGAATGTCCCTGGAAGGGGAGGAGGTAATTATGGCTATTAGTGCTGCGCGCCCAGCCGCAACCTTGGTCACTCGCAGGCTTTTAGGGTTAAAATAGCCCTCACCTCTGACCCCTGCGGAGCAAAGTTGTAGCTATTGCCACAAGTTGGGCCAAAGTTTTCAAATCCAGGGCTGGGCAACACCGGAGGGGGCAAACTTCTCCCTGGAATTATTTTTGGTTGGGATTTAAATCATCTTTAGTCTATTTAATTGCCTTTCCCTCCTCCTTTGGCCAAATAATCCCTTTCGGAGAGGTGGGGGGGATTTCAAAACGCCCTGCTCTCGCTACCTTTCCCACTGCTCTTTCCATTTAGGTTTAATTTGGCAGATTGTTTTCAAGCATGAAAATGGTTATCATCAAACTGAATTACTGGGTCAGCCTTTCATCCAGAGATCTCAAGAATAAAAGGGGGGGTCGGGCGGGGGTGTCCCCCCCTTTAGGCTTTCTCTGCCATGACCCGTTCAGCTTTACAGAAAAAATATAAAAAAGGAACATTTGGAAAAATGAAGAAAGGACAAAAAGCTTGGATTTGTCTCCTGTGCTTTCTGCACACCTTCACGATCCTCCCCTGCAAGGGGGGATTTTGAAAGGGGGGGCAGGGGGTGCTCAAATTGAGGAGGGGAGGGAGCCCACAGATGCAAGTACCCCTCTGGCAATAATAAAAATTCATTCAAGTGGGCTATGTCTCCATCTTCCATGTACTGATTAGACTTAACAAGAGTGGAAACTTGTGTAGACCATATTTATGGTATTAACAAGCAGTTAAAAGATTTATCCTTCTTCTGATCAATATTGTTCGTGGCCAGTCCTTCCCCCCCACCCCCCGGGCCCTCCCCGAAGGCTGCAATGACAATCGCCTTCATACTTTTTCATCACCGATCGAGGTGGCAAAACCCTTTTGTAATTTTCATTAGCCCAGTAAACATGCAATTAACATGCAGCACTGTGGTTAACTTAATTCCTGTTTTAAGGCAAGGACAAGCAAGAAATGGAAGAGCGTTTGTTCCATTTGTCAAGTATGACACACTCCCTACCCTAACAGTTTCTTAAAATAAAAGCTCGGCTCCCCACCACCACGACCACCACCCCTCTTTCCAGAAACCCCCCACACTGATACACACACACACACAAAAAGGAGCAGGAATCCATTAGTTGGAGAGTATTCTCCTGCCAAAGGCGGTATAATGTATTCCAAATTTTCCCAAGCCCTCACTGTACCGGGGTCCCGTTCCCCCCACTCCCCCCTCCCATCCTGGGGAAGGGGGCTGACTCGCTGATATTTCTCGTGGGTGAAAGATTCAGCCTTTTCCTAACCGTATTTTTTTTTAATTTAAATAAAATAAAACTAAACGTGCTTCCCATGACTAAAAGTTGCCATGTTTGTGAAGGGGGTGGGGAAAAATGTCTCCAAGGGTTTCAATTAGCAACAAATGATTATTGCAACGGATTTTTGGTAATGAAAAAATGTGGAGTACCTCTTTCGAGCTGGGATCTCAGGGGCAGTGAGAGAGAGAGAGAGGGGGGGGGGGAGAGGGAGAGAAGGAGAGAGAGAGAAAGAGATTGCTGATTAGCTCGGATTCTTTCCCAACTTGCTTTAGCGTGTGCTTGCGTTCCCTGCCGACCCTACACAGGACACTATATATTTTTTCCCCTTCGGTGCATGTGTTGATAGTCCAGCCTGTAGTTGTTTGCGGTTGGCTTTTTCTTTTCTTTTTCGTTTTTTTTTTTTTTTTCCTGCCGGGGAGGGGGGAGGTGGGAAAGGGGGGGAGGGGGGGCTGAAATCCGTCGCATCCATCCTACCCCCACAGTCATTAACTTAGGAGATTTCCCTCTCTTATTTTTTTTTTCCTCCCCAATTGGAAGGGTGGGTTGAGAATATTTTTCCCCCCCTTTTTTTTTCCCTAATTTTTTTTTATTTTTTTAAGTCTCGCCTTTCCAGCTCCAAACAAGGTGTAGCGAGACGCTCTTCCTTCTAAGGAATGAAATGAGACAAGGATCACTCAAAGACATCTCCTACCTTGGGCTTGGGGATTTTTTCTTAAAGGCAAGGCGCACATTCCTAAGCAGCTGTGTACAAAGCCCCCCCTGAAATCTTGTCTGTGTAAAGTTAGAGTGTGTTCAGGGTGTTTTTTTTTTTCCTCTCTCTCCCAAGGCTGATCGCTAATAATACATCGAAAGCACTTCCCTTTAGGTTGTGGGAAATCTATTCCCTTCACCTTGCTTCCTTTTTTTCCCCCCCTGAAGGCTGTAACTTTACTTTTTTTTTTCTCTCTCCCTCTTTTTTTTTTTTTTTTAATCAGTTTGCACAATCGCTTAGATAAACACCAAGAAGGAGACTTCTCTTTAATTACCCAACGCACATCTTTCTGGGGGGCAAACAGCGGTCTGAATTTTTTTTTTTATTTGTTTGTTTCACCTGCCAAACTAAAGGAGAGGTAGAAAAAGGAAGATGCAAGCGATTTGGGACCTTGAACAAGGCAAATATGGTTTTGGTATGTTTACTTATAGTTTTTTTTCTTCTTCTTTGACACTTTTTTCGGGCAATGTGTTGTGATTCTTGTGTTTCTCTTTTAAGGAAAACAAAAAATCCAAAAAAGCAAATGTTAGCTAACGTGCGTCTTAAACGATCGTTTCTAAGGTTACGTGGGTTGCTCTAAGGAGGGGAAGAGGGGAGGGGGGCAGACCCAAGTATGTGTAATTGCAGCACCATCAGTTTAGCACGTCCTTTAAGCTAAATAAAGCAAAAGCAGCAAACAAACAAACAAGCGAACAAACCCAAGGACCGGAGCCGCTTTCCAGGTCCGAGGCAAAGCGCCTGCGAGTCATTTCCCCGGGAGCAGAGCCCGCTGCCCTGCCCGGCGCCGGGAACGCTCGGGCGGAGCGCGGACCGACCTGCTCCGGAGGGTGGGAGGGCAGGAGAGGGGCTCTGAACTTAAGGGATAGCTATTAAACTGCCCGCGATCGCGTCGCTCCGTGCAGCTGGCAGCGTTTATTTGGGGTGGGGGGAGAAGGGGGAAAAAAGAAAAAAAAAAAAAAAAAAAAAAAAAAAAAAAAAAGAGGTTGTGGTGAAGGTAAAGCGCCGAGATCCCCTCTCCCCATCCGGTCGCTTCCCTGGCTAAGCAAGTACAATGGAAAGAAGCTGGAATATACTCACCATCCGAAGGTGTGGTTGGCAGTTCGGCTGAGGCTTTAAGGCAATTATTTATCCTTTTTTTTTTTTTTTTTTAAGTATTATTGCAAAAGACGTAGATCTGACTTTAAGCGGCAGAAGTGTTTTGCTCTGACAACAGCAAGCGAGGCTCGGATCCTCGTTAAAAAAAAAAAAATCACAAAACAGGATCTCCCCCCCCCCCAACCCAATCCCTTACCACTATCCCTTAAAAATACCTATTCGGCACAGCTCTCGCAGAAACCCTGATGCAGAAATCTTATAGTCCGGTCTAGGAGTGCCCAAGCCAATTAATTTTAAATCCTTAGGAATTAATCAGATTAAAATGTACAGAAGTTTCATTCTCGTATGCATACGTGAGCCAAAAGTCGTTTCCCTTTAAGAGATCCTTTTCTTTTAAAGTTGAATTTTAGGCAGATAAGAGACTTACACTAGGGGGCAGCCAGATACTGTACTTGCTCCAATCTTAAGCAATTTTTTTTCCTCTCTCACAGCATATGCTCTGATTTAGCACTGTAAATTTTTCAGAGGACCCAACTCTGACAGCCCCTGGTGATTTTCAAAGTACCACAAGCCAGTGGTTAAAAATTGCATTGACTTGGAAGTTCAGAGGCACACAATAGGAGCCACTTTCCCTATTCATGGAACTTCAGTGTGGTGGAAGAGAAAAACACACACATACTACATTGAGGGAGAAGAGGAATTCATTGAATTCTGTTAGACGTAACTGCTTTCCACTGAGTTCAGAGCGAAACTCGGTATTTGTTCGATGCTGTATTCATATTGCGATTTAATCTAGAAAGAATTAGAGGACTGTTAGGCAGCTTTCTGCCAGGAAAGCAGCTTCCCCCTCCTTCCTCCTCTCTTTTTGAAACCTAAAGATTTACACCGGCTCTATCCCCAACTCAATTTTAGCAAAATAAATCCTTCCACTCCCTCTCATTAAAATAAATTTACATCTGCAGTAAAATGGCAGGAGGGATGCTTTTGTTTATTTGGAAAACCAACACGGTCTCACTTTTAAACCAGAGCATTTCTATTGTCATTAAGCCTCGGAGAAGGACAGTGGAGAATCTCCCCCTTCCTTGCGAAGCGCTCAGGTTTCGAGGATTATTTAGCGAAATTAGCTGCAGTTCATTTTTTACATTCATCTCCTCTGTCTCAACCCACTCGCAGGGGTGTTTTCAAATAAATAGCAAAGCATCTAATGGTGCTAATAGATAGTTATATCGCTGCATCCCTCGAAGAGCAAATAGTTAATCTGGGGCATTCTTCATTAATGCTTGAGCAATCAGCGTATACGGCGGCTTTTAAGCGTATATCAATGGTTTTTCATTTTTACGATCATACGTTCAAACTATTAATATTGTGCGTCCTGTTAAAACCGCTTTCTCTTCTGATTTCTGCATTTGTTAGGACGGCGTTTATGTTTTTTCATATGGTGAATTAATCCTGTTTACTTTGTCAGATTCGAGACAGGAAAGGTTGGTGTTGGGTTGTGCTTTGGGTTTTGGCTTTTATTTTTTTCCTCAGGAAATCCAACATCAGCAACAATCTGTGGCTATTCTGTATTTTGAACTCCCACCTTCTCCTACCCTCCCCGAAAGGTCACCTCCTCAGCTCTGGCTTGTTTGGAAACCATAAGGCAGTTCCCCACATTTTAACCTGGAAAGATTCCTTCCCCACTTTCTGTCTTCCCAGTCCTTCCTGGTCACTGTTTCGGGTAAAGGTTATTTTTTGCTCCGTGAGGATCAATGGGAACGCTGCAGCCTTGTCTTTGAAATTGAGTCGCAAAAACCTCTTCGCCCGTGGGGTCTGAAACACGCCAGGTTTCCCGGCAGGACACCCTCAAGGCGAGGTGCTTTTTACAACTTTCCAACCATCTCCGCACCTGCGGCTTTAGCCACACGTTTTATTTCTGCGGCACGAGTGCGTGGGCATGTGGCAACATGAAAAAGTGTGTGTGAGGAGGTGCGGGGCAATGAATCCCTGACAGAGTTGTGCCCAGGTCTGTGTCCCCTCGGCCGTGCTTGGTGACCGGCTGGGATGCGAGCGCTCACAGACGCGTGTGTTCGCGGAGGAGGAAGGGTCCGGCCGGGCATTTATCTGTCTGTGTTAACATGTTTTCTATTTTATCTCTCCGTCCCTTCGCTTGTTCGAGTGTCTTTTGGCCATTTTCACCGGGAGACGGACTCGAGTCCCCGCTCCGCTGGCCGGTAGCTCCATTCAGCGGGAAATAAACACGTCCCCGTGCTTAGCTCTGTTACCTGCTCGTGGTACAGAACGGAGGTCGCGTTACAGAGTCGGGGTACGTGCGGTCACCAAACCCCCGAACCCGCAAGACCCCGACATAAAGTTAAAGGGGTTGAGGCGAGCCACGCCGTGGCGATGCCGTGCGGAAGGCTCGGCTGTCACGCTCTGCGGAGCGCCGTGCCGGGCTCCGGAGCTGCTGCAGCGGAGCCGCGCTCCCCTCGCTCCGGGGCGAGCGGGACCCGGGAGCGCTCGGGCGGAGCGGCGGAGCCCCCGCGCCCCGCCGGGGCCGGGCGGTGCGAGCGGCCGCTCCCGGAGCGCGGGGCAAGGGCGCGCTCGGCTCGGCGCGGCTCAGCGCAGCCCGGCCCGGCTCGGCGCGGCTCCGCGGGCGGCCGGGGCTCGGCTCGGGCGGGCGGCGGGACACGGGCGGCCGCGCCGAGCGCAGGTGCCCGGAACGGGGCCGGGGGGCTCTGCTGTGAGACCCCCGGCGGGCTCCAGCCCGCACCGCGCTCCCCGAGCGCTTTCGGACAACCCGCGGCCGCCCCTTCCCCGCAGCGGCGGCGGCGGCAGCGCCGGGGCTCGGCTTTACTTTATTCCGTGGAGTTTTACCTCGGTTTAGCGCCTGCTTGCCGCTTTGCACCCGGCCGCCCCCTCCGACCCCCGAGGCCGTGCCCCGGCGGGCAGCCCCAGGTGAGGCGGCGGCGGCGCCGCGCTCCGCACGCCGGGCTCGCCCTCACCCCTGGCCCCGGCGGGGCGTGAGGGCGCGGGGCGGCGGGCGCGGGGCGGCGGCCGGCGCTAGGACCGCGCGGGCGGCGGCGGCGGCCATGGCGGGCCGCGCAAGGGCGGCGCGGGCCAATGAGGGCCGGGGGGCGGGGCGCGCGCTCCTGGCCACTCAGGCGCCGGCCCGGTTGCCTTATAAGGCGCGCGGTCGCCATGGCGACGCGCGCTGAGTTGCAGCAGCCGTGTCAAAGTTCACTCTCCCGCCAGCGGGGCGAGCGGCCGGCGGGGAGCGCGCTCGCCGCTCCTCGGCCCACACGCCGCCCGCACCGCCCGCCCGCCCCGCCCCGCGCCGCCCCTCCCCGCCGCCGCCAGGGGAGGGGAGCGGGGGGGAGCCCCTGCTTCTTTTTATTTTGGGGCGGGGGGGGGGGGGGGGAGCGCTGGCGCGCTCTCCCCGTGGTGATTTTTTTCCCCTCCTCCCTCCCTCCCCGGCTGAGGAGCGATGCTGCGCGCTGGGTTATGATCCTTCCCTCTCTCTCTCTCTCTCTCTCTCTCTCTCTCCCTCTCCCTCCTCCTCCTCCTCCTCCTCCTCCTCTCCTCCTCCTCCTCCTCCTCCTCCTCCTCCTCCCGCTCCCCTCTTTTATCATCCTGGCTGGCTGGGCGCTGCTGCGCTGGCGAGTTGACTCCTTCCCTCCCCCCCGCCCCGCGGCCCCCCTCCCCCTGCCCGCGCCGTGAGCACCGGCGGCGCGGAGGCGAGAGCCCACTTGCGAGGCGGCAGAAGCAGCATAAGGCAGCGCGGCGGCGGCGGCAGCGGCGGCGGGAGCGGCGGCGGCGGGAGCGGCGGCAGCGGCACCCGAGCGGCGGCGGGAGCGGGAGCGGCGGCGGGGACGCGGCGCGGCGGGAGCGGCGAACCGGCGGAACGGGGCAGAGCGGAGCAGAGCGGCGGCGCCGGAGAGGAGGAGGAGGAGGAACAAATAAACAATCATAATAATAATTCATAATAATCGTAATCGTAACGATCATAAGAATTTTTTTATAAAACAAAAAAAAAAAAAAAGAGAGAGAGAGAGCGAGGAGGAGAAAAAAAAAAGCCAACAGCCCCCCCACACCCCCGAGCCCAAAAGAGGGAGCGAGAGAGAGCAAGAGCGCAGCGGCCGGGCGGAGCGGCGGAGAGGAAGAATTAAAGCGAGCGAAGGAGGGAGGAGAGACAGAGCAGAGAGAGAGGAGGAAAGAGGAGGAGGAGGAAAAAAAAAAAGCCCACAAAAACAAAGCGATCGCAGTTGATGTTGCTGCTGCAAGCTGGACTTCCAAAAACTACGGCGAGACCGACCGCTCTCCGCGCCGAGAAGAGTCTCCTCCGCTGTGCGTGTTTTTTTCCGCTGTGTGTGTAATCTTTAACCTTTTATTCATTCTTATTTTGATGGCTTTCCTGAATGGCTGACTGCGAGCTTCCCTGGACCTGGCCCCCAGACACCCGCCTCTCCTCCTTCAACTACTCTGCTGCAGATCAGCTCTAAGAGAGAGAGAGGGAGATCTTTGAAGAGATTTTTTTTTTTTTCTCCTCTCTCTCTCTCTCTCTCTCTCCCCCTCTCTCCCCCACCCCCACCACCCCTTTACTTTGCTCTCCTGGAGCCCAGACAATCGACTCGCACCTCGCCCCCCCGCACACACACCTCCATCGCCCCGTGCTTCTGCACCTTCGCCGGTACCGGGAGATCCCCCCCACCCCGACCCTCCTGAAAAAAAAAAAAAAAAAAAAAAAAAAAAGGCAAAACAACAAAAGAGAGAGAGGGAAAAAGAGAGAGAGAGAGAGGGGAGGACAAAAAAATAAAAAGACTGCTGCAAAGCTGATCTGAAAAGCAAAGCAAACAAACTTTGAAAATAAAGGGGGAACAGGAAGTTTGGCAACGGTGTCCAATAGATATGGCAATGGTAGTCGGTGCGTGGCGAGACCCCCAGGACGATGTGCCCGGAGCTCAGGGAACGCAGCCTTCGCAAGCCCCGCCGGTGCAGGGACCCCCGGCCGGGGCCCCGCACACCCCACAGACCCCGGGGCCCGGGGGCCCTCCCAGTACGCCAGCCCAGACCAACCCGCCGAGCCAGCAGAACCAAGGAGACAAGCAGCAGCAGCAGCAGCACATTGAATGTGTGGTTTGTGGGGACAAGTCTAGTGGCAAACATTATGGCCAGTTTACCTGCGAGGGTTGCAAGAGTTTCTTCAAGCGGAGTGTAAGGAGGAATCTCAGCTACACTTGTCGTGCCAACAGGAACTGTCCCATTGACCAGCACCACCGCAATCAGTGTCAGTACTGCCGCCTCAAAAAATGCCTCAAAGTTGGCATGAGACGGGAAGGTATTGGGATTTCATTTGTTTTGCAATTTTTTTTTTCACTCGCTGCGTTTTGGGGTTTGTTTGGTTTTCCTTTTTTTATTATTTTTAAATAATATATATAATTGCTCTTAGCATTTTTAACTTTCCTCTCCAAACCCCAAACCCAACCAGAACCTTTCCTTCCCCCCCACCCACCCCCCTCGAATAAACCAGCCAGAAACTTTCTCGTAATGAAAGAAAGCGGTGTTGGGGAGGGTGGGCAGGGAGGCAGGGGCTCTCGCATGCTTTCTCCTGCACTCGTAATTGATTTGTGTTTGTTTTGATTTTGCTGATGGAGGTTTATTGAAAGTGGATTTTTAGTTTCACGCTGCTTAGGAGCGAGATGATGATTCTGACGTGTGGTTACTTTTCCTTCGTGTTTCCTCCTGCATGCTCAGCCTTAGCCCCTGTGCCCCGAGCAGCCCTGTGTGTGTGTGTGTGTGTGTGTCTGTGCGTGTGTGTACACACACACACGGAGCCTCCCGAGATGCACACACACACATACACATACACACACGCATATATATATATCCTCCAGCACCCTGCCTTAGATTGCAATTTTACACAGGCGGTTCAAATTACTATTACAATGGGACTCACCCTACCGAGGCTCTACAGCACTCCACTGTGGATTCCCGGCCGGATTTTTCCTCCTTTAAAAATATACATACACACACACACATATCTCCACGAGTGTGTGTGTATACACACACTGCCGTGTGCCTGCCTTTGCTGGTTGTTATTTCCTCACTTTTCTCTTCTTCCTCTTATTTTCTTGCTCCTCCGGGAGAGGCAGGAGGGGGTAGAAGGGATGGGGTGGGGGGTGTAAGGAGCAGTCCAGAAGTAAGTGTGGGGTGCTCGGATCTCTGCAAGTGGAGTCTTTGTGATATAAAATTAGACGGGAAATGTGAGCCTGCAGTTTTCCAGTGCGTGCTCTGTGTCTGGACGCTGCTATGTAGGTTAAGGGTGAGGGGGCTTGGGACTCGCCGGGCTCCTCTCTTTGTGTTTCTGCAAGAGTAACTAACCTTGGAATACAGGCGATAACAAATATAAATCAAGCACATTTTTAGGCGTTCTCCCTTCTTGTCGTCTCTCTGCCTCTGAGCCCTTTTTCTCTCTCCTTTTTCTCTCGCTGTCACCGTGTAAATTTATTAACAAAATGAAAGGCCCACTTTCCATGGGCAGCGGGGGAAGGTGCCTTTGGATAATGCCCTCAGCCTCACCAGGGGACCTGCCGGGGATGTTGTGGGGTGATTTCGCCTCCTTTGGTATTTTTTACGAGAGGGGGGGATGTATAATACCAGCAGCAACAATGTATTCAGTGGGCGAGAAACGCGTGTGGGACCAGAGCCGGGGATTTCGAACTGAAGTGTTTCTTCCTTCTCCCCTCCTCCTTCCCCATCCCGCTCCCCCAGCCTCAAACCAACGAGCTGGTTTAGGTGTAACGGAGGAAAAAAACACACAAAGACGTATCCTGCATCTCTGGAAGGAGGGGGTGGCGGTGCAGGGGAGGGGGGGATAACCGGACTGTGGTGTGTTTTGGGAAGTGAGGAGCCGGGCTCCCACAGCAGCCCTGGCCGAGCCCACAGCGTCCCTCAGCTTTTGTTGTTGCTTGACTTGACCCGAGAACTGCGGAGCCTTAGAGCGGGGCCGGGGCTGAACTCTGGCGGGGAAAATGCACGCTTCCCCCCGAAGCTGGCCGGGTGCGGGGTCACACAGGCACGCACAAGCACACAAAGCAGGCTGTATTGGAACCGATGGTCGCAATTCAGATATTAATAGCTGTAGTTTCTTCTCTATTTACTGCAGCGGTCCAGAGGGGCAGAATGCCACCCACACAGCCAACTCATGGTCAGTTCGCCTTGACAAATGGGGACCCTCTCAACTGCCATTCCTACCTATCCGGATATATCTCCCTTCTTCTGAGAGCAGAGCCCTACCCCACCTCCCGCTTTGGCAGTCAGTGCATGCAACCCAACAACATCATGGGCATCGAGAACATTTGTGAACTGGCAGCTAGGATGCTCTTCAGCGCGGTGGAGTGGGCCAGGAATATCCCCTTCTTCCCAGACCTCCAGATCACAGACCAGGTGGCCCTCCTGAGGCTGACCTGGAGCGAGTTATTTGTCCTCAACGCTGCCCAGTGCTCCATGCCCCTCCACGTAGCTCCGCTCCTGGCAGCTGCTGGCCTCCACGCTTCGCCAATGTCTGCTGACCGAGTGGTCGCCTTTATGGACCACATACGAATCTTCCAAGAGCAAGTAGAAAAACTGAAAGCATTGCATGTCGACTCTGCAGAATATAGCTGTTTAAAGGCCATAGTCCTCTTCACCTCAGGTAGGCGGCATTTCTTTGCTCCTTTTTTTTGTTGTTTTGTTTTGGTTTTTTTTTTTCTTTTTCCTCTCCTCCTTCCCCGGGCCCCCCTTGAGAAGTGTTTGCTCTTGCAATGTGTTATTGCCTGCACCCCATGCCCGCTCCCTGCCCCCCGAGAGCCAGCGCGGTCTCTTTTCCTTTTAGGAAGCGGTGCCCTGTGCTCTGCCCTGCAGGGCCTCGGATCCGAGCATCCCATCTTCTAGGGAGTGCAAATCAGAGAAAAAAATAAAATAAAAATAAAATACACACACCCCATTCATTTTAATTTTTTTTTAAAGAAAAAAGCAGGCAGCCAAAATACACCCCAAGCCTAGCTGAATAATGCTGGGGACTGGGAAAGAAGGGGCCCGGGAAGAGGCACCCATTCGCCACGAGAGACTGCGCTCTTCCCATTGAAAATAATATTTTATTTAACAGTATAGCTCTGGGTTGTTGCATTTAATGACACGCATCCAAACAGCAGCAAAATCTGTTTGATGTTGTTAAATACAAGTCGTCCTATCAGTGAAACCACTTTAAAAAGAGGATCATTTTATGGGCAGCCAGGAAGGGAAAAAAGCCCTGCAGGATTAAAAATTGAATTAAAAAAAAAAAAAGTTAAATGCACAAATCTGAGTTTAAAATATGTTCCCTGCCATCTCATAAAATAAAATAAATCAACTTTGCAAAGAGCTGTCTCTGATTTAAACAGAATGTGGCAGTGAGCAGTTCTGTGTCATTTAAGCTAAGGGGAAAAGTTTGCATTTGTACCCAGCAGGAACTGCATAGTCCAAAGTGAGTAGCGGGTGCGAAAAGATCATTACCATAAGTAGACAGGGATAGTATGGAAAAGTAAGAGGAGGCTGAAGCTGCCGCTCCGCGGTGTAATTCCGGGGTGGCACAAGCATGACTCTCCCGAGGAAAAGACCTCGAGGTGTTTCTTAGATAATCAAAGAGGGGAGGGGGGGGAAATATGTGTCAACTTTTGCTGCCTAGAAATAGTGCATGAGTTATAAAGCAATAATTGAGTGCGTTGTGAAATCTAATTAGCTTGCACTAGAGTTTAACCTGGGTGAGTAATAATCCTGATATTAACTCTGGAGGCTAAATTTTTTTTTTTTTTTTTCTTCTGAGGGGGAAAAAAAAAAAAAAATCTGCTCGCTAATTTGTGCAATACGTTATCTCAGATCACTAACTTTGAGGCTGCACCGGCAACCCAGTGTGCTGGAGCCCTGGAAGTTTGGGGATTAAATTTAAAAATACATATATTTCGCCTGTAACTCATTCGGACGCTTGGGAAAGTGGCCACGCGATAAACATATGAATGGAAGCAGGACCTGCAAAATAATTACTCATCAGAGTTTTTTAAAGCCTGATATCAGGAAACAGGAAAAAAATGTAGTTTATGTGGGAAAAGAAGGGCTCACAATCCGTTCCTTGTTGTGTTAAAGGGGGTCTGGGGAACGAAGTCATTTTCTGGACTTTGTCCAGGTTCTGGGTCGTGACCTAAACTTCCTTTTATATATTATTGCTTTACACATAAAAAACTTCTCCTTTTTTTTTTTCCTCCCCCCCCCAATTACTGGTGTTAAATCCTGAGGTGATCAATGAGCAGGGCGCATCTAGCCACAGGGAGACAGGGATCCCGAGTGGGAAGGGGTGTCCGTGGGGTGCTTATTTTATTTTTCTGTCATTTTTCTAGGATGCATTTTCCTCTCCCTCGCTCAGCCGCTCAACGAGGATCCCACACACGCTCACATCCCTCCCCAGCCCCTGCCCAGCTCACACCCACACCAAGGAGTTTATTTCCAATCCTGCCTTTTCTCCCAAATCACTTTTTTTTTTTTTTACTTTTTTTTTTTTTTTTTTTTAGCCTTCTGAGAAAACAATCGTCCGATCCTGTCGTAACTGTTTAATTTATGACTATTTTCAAAATGGGAGGCCTGGCGTGTAAATTGCCTCCCAACTAGATAAACGTTTCTTGTTATCTGATTCTGGGGAAGACAGCCGCATGCAAAAAAATATAGGGTGATGCTTGCAGCTTCTGCAGCACCCCAATAACCCTCCCTGATGTAAAGCAGACGCACATAGATGCATATAATGTTTGCTGCAGCCTCTTTTAAGAGGGAGGGGGGAAAAATCTGGGTTCTAATGACTCGCAGAATATGCATGTGTTAGCCCTGTGCCTAGGAAAGCCACAGGGAGGTCAGGTCACAACCTGTGCTCTTTCAGCACAGACGTCTCTGATTTAAAGGGAACTTATTGTATTTTAGCGTATCAGGGAAAAAAAAAAAAGAAAAAAAAAGAAAAAAAAAAAAGAAAAAAAATGTCCAGACCCTATCAGGGAGTTTTCTTCTTGTAAGGGCCTTTAGGTTTAAAAAGAAGAAGAAGAGGAAAAAAAAAAAGAGGGGGGAGTGGAGGGGGGGAAGAAAGAAAGAGAAAAGAAAAGAGGGGGGAAAAGAAACAGCTCAAATGAACAGAGAGATCACAGTTTGCATGGCTGCCTCTGAATAGGCTAAACTGACAAGATCAGTTTTAAAGGGCCACTTAAATCAGTTTCAAAGACTGAAGAAAAACGCGTTGTCTTCTTTGGGGGAGAATCTGTTGCTGGATCCGGGGCGCCATTATCTTTGGCTGGGCCAGTTTTTTATTATTATTATGATTTCTATCACTGTGAGTAGTAGTCCTTCTCATCACAGGGTTAGGCTCCCCCCAATTATTTTCCAAGAAGGGGGGGGTGTGGAGAAATAGTGGCTCCCTTTCCCCCTTTTTGACTCAAGGCTTCCCCGCCCCCCCAGCCTTTCCCCCAAAAACCACAGAGATATGAAATTAGGCTTGGCCAGCACCTCCTTGCCACCCCTCAGGTCTGTCGTGCCATTAGGAATCTCGACCCTGGGAGCTGTGCTCTGTCCTAAAGGAGACCCTCTAGAAGAGAGAGAAATGCAGACACACACACGCACACATGCACAGAGAGATTGTCCCTTTTGGTGAAACCCACTTAAACTCTGGGGGGCGAGGTGATGGCGCACCATCTACTCTTAAACCTAGACATTTGGAGAAAAAAAAAAATCAAATTAAAAAATTAAAAAAAAAAAAAACCACAAACCACCAAAACCTTTTTAATCTGATGATTGCTTTCTTTTTTTTTTTTTTTTAATCTTTTCTTTCTTTTTTTTATCTTTTTTTTTTTTTTTTAATACACTTTCTTCTAGATGCCTGTGGTCTCTCTGATGTAGCCCATGTTGAAAGTTTACAGGAGAAGTCACAGTGTGCTTTGGAAGAGTATGTTAGGAGCCAGTATCCCAACCAGCCAACACGATTCGGGAAGCTATTACTACGTCTCCCCTCCCTTCGCACTGTCTCCTCTTCTGTCATAGAGCAATTGTTTTTCGTCCGTTTGGTAGGTAAAACCCCCATAGAAACCCTAATCAGGGATATGTTACTGTCTGGCAGCAGTTTTAACTGGCCTTACATGTCCATTCAATAAAACATCCAAGAGAGAGAGAGAAAGAGAGAGAGAGAGAAAATAAAAGGAAAAAAAAAAACAACAACACCGAGACAAAAATTAAAAAAAAAAATAAATAAAAATTCAAAATTGAGAAGGGAGATGTGAGTGAAAGGAAAGCAAATGACATTTGGGTTCTGGTTGTTTCTTAAATTTCCTTCTGCTAAGAAAGGATGTAAAAGGATGTTACAAGTTTGCTAAGAGAAGACAGGAAAAAATTAATGGACTGTGAATTAAAAAAAGAGACTGTCAAATGAACTTTTACAGAATGCATTAAAAACTCCCGTGTCGTTCAGAAAAAAACTTGCTACTTATCATTTTTTTTGTAAAAAATAAAAAAGAGGGAAAGAAAAAAAGAAAGAAGAAGAAAAGAAACGATGGTGGGCTTTTTCTTTTTTTCTTTTTTCTTCTTTTTTTTTCTTTTTTTTGGGGTAAACTTTTTAAAAAATCTCGCTTAAAGTGCATTTAAAGGAAATTTGGAGAAAATTAGCAGAACGGAAGCAAGTAAGTCTTTTTTTTCCAAATTATTAATTGTCCTATGTGTCTATGTACCTATAGCTGTTCTTTTTGTATTTTTCTGGTTTCAAACCAGTTTATTCTGTGGTTCTATAATAATTTTTGATATAACCTTGGCTTCTTTAAAAAAAAAAAAATAAACTGTGTATCCTTAAAATATATGTTCTGAAAGAATTAAAACTGAGTCCACGAAAGTATCATAGGAAGAAAGGAAAAGAGAAAAAAAAAAACCCTCAACAACACAATGATGGAAGCGCACTTAAGGTGGTGACCCAAAATCTAGCTTGAAGCTGAGAGAGCTATAATTATATAGACCCGAATGAACCACACGTGTCATATAACTCCCCCCAAATCTAGGTTTTTTTGATATTTCGGACAGAAAATGAACTGTGGGGATTTATTATAGGTAGAAGGATTTTGTGTCCAAGACACACTACGGTTTTGATTTAAAAGGAAAAAAAAAAAAAACAAACAAGCAAACAAGCAAAGTGAACTTTTGTAATTTGAATTGGGTTCCACATAGTTCATCATGAATTGTTATTAAACTCCTCTATCTGTTTGTATATTTGCAAGCCCTTTGTATTATAATAATTGTTGATATTTTCCCTTTTTAAAAAATACCATTGAAATCAGCATGACAAAATAACACTGTTGGCACTTATAGATAACGTGATTGATTCAGTATCTTAGAGTTTACAGTTTTGTGTTTAAAAAAACTGAAGGTTTTTTTTTTTTTTAAGTGCAACATTTCTGTATACTGTAAAAGTTATAATAACTGAACTGTTTGGTCGAGTCTTTGTGTGTTATATTCCAAGGAAAATTGAAAGTATTCAGAAATTAAAATATTATTTGATATCTGAAACTTGTTTGGCTGTCATAAATGTCTTTCAGAAACCACATTACTTCTCTATAGTTTGCAGTCATTTAAGTCCATAGGCGATTGATTTGTTTACTTGTCACAGTAAGTTTGTAGCAGATGTATTGTAGTGTATTTACCTGTTTAATTCCGGGATGGGGGTGGAGGACTTAAGTTCGTGGTTTATCTCTGGTTTTAGGAAGTACTATGCTGAAATGGTAAACCATCAACCCCCATTCATCTAATCCTCCTGTTAATTAAAAATGGATTTTCTGGGGAAAAAAAAAAAAAAGGCCCTTATTTTTGTCACACTTAAGTGCCTGCGTAGGAAAGGTATTGTTGTGAAAAAGTATTAGAAATCTGGAGATCAGTATCTATTTTATGATCAGAATGGGGCGAAAAATCTTTTGTAAATGTCTGACATACGCGCACAAGATCATTCAAGCAAGGTAATAGCAGTATTGTAAATATAGGTCAGTTGTTTGCAATGAGTTTTCTTTAAGTATGTGTGATTTTTTATAATACTCCGTAGTTGCCATCTATCGTTGTCATTGAGAGGTCTTCAAATGGAGTGGCTTTAGCTTCTAGCACTGAGGAGTCGGTTTTTAATGTGTATATACTCTCAAGTGGATTTCTTTTTTTTTATTTTTTTTATTTTTTTTTTTTAATTTTTTAACCTTTAGACTGTGAAAGCATGACCACAGGTCATCTCTCTCTTTTCCATATGGGCTCAGTGTCTGTGTGTATGCTGGCACACAGGCAGGCGTGGGCGTCCCTGGATGTGCCCTGTGTGTGGAGGCACAGGGCCCTCTCCTGCAGCTCCCAGGGACCTGCCTGGGCGGGTGGCACAGCCCCGGACACACCATGGGCAATTGGAAAAAAAAAACCCCACCAAATAACCCAACCCAAACATGAAGGAAGGCAAGATGATGTGGTTTTTGCAATGGGTTGATATTTTATTTCGTGTGTGTGTGCGTGTCATTTATTTTTTTTTTTTCTCTCTTTTCTTTCTCTCTCCCCCCGCCCGCCCTCCCCTTGGTCTATAGCAGATGCTTTGTATGTGAAAGCTTGCAATTTTGTTCTTGTCTGAGGCTTCCCCCTCTCCCTTTTTACCACACGTAACTACACCATGTTGTGGTTTCACAAAAAGAGAGAGAGGGAGGGAGAGAGATCATTCTGTAAAGTCGATTAAACCCTGATCTTTAGTGTGTTCCAGTTAGACACATCTGTACTGGGGGCTGAGGGGCGTATGACTGTGAATTTGAGCAGAGTTTTACATCTGAATCATGGCTCCTTTTCTATAAATATATAAATATATATAAATATATAAATATACTATTATTGCAGGGGAATTGCTGACCTCTAGATTTAGCTTTTTCTATTGCAAGTGCTATCCATGTGAGTGTGTGTGTGTGAAGTTTTTATGCTTACTAAGAACACAGGATCTTGACTTGTTTGTTTTGTGTTAGTTTATTGTAAACAACCATTTGTTGTAAATTGTTATTGGCATTAAATTATAATTTATGATTTTCAAATCCAAAACATTCTCTGCTTTTTATGTTTTAAAGCCTGTAAGCTATCTCTGTATTTATAAGTTTCTTGCAGCGAGCTTTGGTTCACAGAGAATAATAGTAAACAGAAAATGCACCAGGGTTAAATAAAAACACACACACACACACACACACACGCACGCACACACACAAGCCCCGTGTATATATGTTTGGAATGCTCAGAGGAGGATTTGTTTAGGGACTTCAGTTAGTTTTAAGTTTATAGCATTTAAAGAAAGTTTTTCTTTTCATGCTGAGTTAGAACAAAAGATCTATCCAAAGATTGAATTGGACAAAAGAGGAGGGTTGGGATGGAGAAGCTTGTTCTATGTTGAATTGAGGAGATCCTTTTTTTTTTTTTTTTTAAGAAAAGCGAAAAAAAAAAAAAAAGCTGTTAAACATGGCGACTCTTTCCCTCTAAGTGTCTAATTTATTTTTTTTCCTTGCGGTTCCCCCACTTCCCAACCCTCCCTTTTATTATATTTTCTGCTTTAATCTGATCTCAGCTCGCTCTATTCCTTCCCCCCTCCCCGCCATTCCTGCCACCGGGACTGGCGGGGAAAGACCCAAAGGCGACCCGGAACGACAGCGAGAGCTGCGGAGCCGCCCGCGGTGCAACCCACAGCTCGGGAAAGGTCTTCTTCACCCCCCCTTCCCCTTCCTCCTCCTCCTCCCTGCGCTCTGCCCTCCCCGCCGCCGCTCTCCCGAACCTGCCCGGCCCCGCCGGGGGGGCGGCGGCCCCGCGGGGCGCGGAGGGGGCGCGGGAGGAGGCGGCTCCCCAAGTTCAGACAAAAGCGGGGGCAGGGGCCGGAGGAGGCGCCGGGCGGGCGGTGCCAGCCCGCGCGTGTGAGCGTGTCCGTGTGTCTGTCCGTGTGTGTGTGTGTGTCTGTGCGTGAGCGCGTGTGGCAACCGCGCGTATCTCCGTGCGCGGCGGGGCCGGCCCGGTGGGAGGTGGTTTTTTTTTTGGTTTGGTTTTTTTTTTTTAATTTATTTTTTGGAGGTTTTTTTCCGGAGATTCGGAGGAGCAGCGGGGGGCTGCGCGGCGGCGGGGGCGACGCGTGGGAAAGTGCGCGGTGGGCGGCGGAGCGGAGCCAACATGGCGGCCCCGGGCCGGGCGCTCGCCCCGCGCAGCCGGGGGGGCCCCGCGGCCCCGCTCCGCGCCCCGCGCAGCGCCCCGAGCACCGGGAGCGGCCGCGGCCGCGGGCGGCGCTTCCCCCGCCGCCCGTATCCCGTCCGCATGTCAATGACCTGTGGAAGCATCTCCCCCGTGCGAGCGCGGCGCGGAGCAGCGGGGTCACACCGACCCCGGGCGGGATAGCGGGGTCTGCGCCCGCAGCGAGAGCGCGGCATCCTCGGGATGGGCCCGAAAGGGGAAAAATAATAAAAAGGGGGAGAAAGCGATAGGGATAGCGAGGAGAAGGCAAGGATGTTTCGAGGCGCTCCGTAACCGCCGCTGATAACGAGCGGGATGTGGGAATGGAGATGGGTTTTATTTTTATTTCCTTCTCCTCTTCTTCTTTTTTGTTTCTTCTTCTGCTGCTGCTTCTTCTTTTTTTTTTCTTTTTTTTTTTTTTTTTAATTAAAACTTTAGTGGGTCCTGGGGATCGCGCTCGCTTCGCTTTGCTTTGTAGAATGGAAAGAGATACACGGAGAAATGCAGGCCTTGTCAGGATTTATTGAAGTTGGGTTTAAAAAACGTGCTTCAGATGATTTTTCCCATTTTCTCAGATTTCAAAGGCTCCCCGCAGTGCGGCTGCCTAATTAATGGTGAAATTCAACTAAATCTAATTATGCAGTAATTTTAAAGCAGTTAGTCCTGGGCGCTGCTTTGTAATAGGAACCCAGTTTTTAAAGTTTGCTTAATGTGTTGGTTTAGGGAGCTGGGGAGGAGAAGGGTGTAAGGGACAGAGCTGTGGGGTTGTTTTTTTTCATTTCCCCCTTCTCCCCTTTTTCTCCCCCCCCTTTTGTAAAGCAAAGAAATGCAAAATATAAACCCAAAACAGGCAGCGAAAGGCAAGGAGAGAGGCTGTCTTATCCCCTCGTATGTGATAGGGGTATTGAGTGAGAAGCACCAGCGAAAGTGTAAATAACACAGTAGTTAATAGGGACCATAAAGGTATTCCTGGCCTGTGGATTTCCAAGTGCCGAGCTGTTTTAGAGAGGATCTTGAATCCTGCGGTAATAAAGGGGCAACGGAGACACACAGCGTCTCTTCTTGGGAAATAGAAACCAGATTTCAGCTATTGAACATCTATTGTCATTAAGAGGAGAGGCTTGTGCTCGCGAAGTTATAAATCTTATCACCCTTTTGATAACACAGTTGTAATCAGTTAGCATCGCATTCAAACCCAATTGTAAAACTGCCTAATTTAATATGTCATACATGTCATTAAAACTTTATTTTTCCCACTTCTCTTTTTTTCCTCCCCTCTCTCTACCCATCCCCCCCCCCACGTAAAATGTCAACAGATCTGGCTGGTAACGTGCAGCAGGGAGAGCCCGAGGTGGCTGCGCTGCTCCGGGGGCGAGCCCGGTGCTATGATGAAGAGGGTTTGCTTTCTTCCCATCTAGGTAATCGGAAGCGTTTCTGTCATATTAGAAGTATAGGAGGGGGAAAAAAACACCCCACCCCATAATAATAAAAATAGAGGGGGGTGGGAGGCAAGGGAGAGAGGAAAATGAAATCCTTCTCCTTCCTTCGGAATTGCCATCGCTCAATGAAGTTCTTTGAAAGAAACTTGTCTTATGATTAGCTAAGCAAACACATCTGCTTTCCTAGTTTGGGCTTAGCTAATTATCAAAACAAAGGGGCCGTTTCTTCTTCTACCTTGCTGGAAAGAAGATGTTATTTCAGGAGTCCTGTCCCTCCTCCCCCTCCCTGATCCACACACACACGCAGCCCCCGTCCCAGCCCTTCCCAGCGAAGCACCACGCTCCTTTTATTGGGATTACCGATGGGGAAATCAGTTTGCGCACTCCTCTTCCTAATGTTAAGCTTTATCATTACCTTCCTTGGAACAATATTTTTCCAACCAAATGTCCCTGCGGCAGGGCGGAGGGTGGAGGTGGGAAGGGGAAGGGAGGAGGGGGAAGGTGGTTTTGAATTGCGGACCAACTTCGCAGCTATTTGAATCAAGGCTGCACTCGGTTGATTTTAGTTGACAGAGCGTGTGTTGAAGCTGAACTCTATAATTTGCACTTCTGTTCTTTTATTAGACTCGGACAACGAACTAATGAGCTTTCCCCCACCACTGTGTCACTTGTATTTATTTTCTTTCGGAAACTTTTAGATAGAAGAAGTGTTCTCGCAGAAGGGCAGAGGTGGAGGGAAGGTTTCGCGCGGCGCTTATTTATTTATTTAATTTCCTGGAGGTGCAGGGATCAGCTCTGTGCTGGTGCGGATGTGTCTGTGCGTGTGTGCGTGTGTCCCTGTCCCCGGTGAAAGGCGACCCACGCGGTGTTAGAGGAGGAGAAGCTCCGAGCTCCATGTGTTATCCGGGCGATGCTGCCCTTGGAGTGACTCGGGTGGTGGGAAGGTAACGCGGAGGCGAGCCTTGCGAGACGCCCGAAAACAAAATAAATACATGAATTCGCGTCTAAAGCCTTGGTCCTGAAGGCAGAGGCTCCGCGGTGCGGGCGCGCTGTGGAGCGGAGGGCAGTGAGTGGCGTGAACCCGAATTTGATCAGATCTCTGCAGGAGCGGGTTAACTTCATAAAAGCGAGAGGTGGCTTTAAACATGTA